TAGTGAGTACTTATTCAGTATGTTTGAGATCTTGTCAGTCACTCCTTTGACGTATGGTAAATAAACAGGTTGTCTGTCTACTCTGTGTCTCTGGTGTCTTAGTTTGTGTCTTGATGGAAAATGTCCCTGGTATCCATTACTCTGTAAGACTCGTCGTACATGCTCCAACTCTTCTTGAAGATGTTCCTCATCACATAGGTCATATGCACGGTTCGTCAGTGAAGTCATTACAGAGTTAAGATGTTTAGGGTGGTGATGCGAGGAGGCGTTGAGATAGCGGTCAGTGTGTGTTGATTTGCGGTAAATGGAATGACCAAGCGAACCGTCATTCCTCACCCGAATCTTCACGTCCAGAAAGGCCAGACTTCTGTCTTCTTCCATCTCATAGGTAAAGTTGATTTTAGAATGGATACCATTTAAATTTGCCAAGTGAGACTCGACATCATGTTTGTTACCTCTTAATATACAGAATACGTCATCGACATACCTCTTCCATAGTTTTATTTCTGTGGGTGCGGTGATAAATGATTTTTCTTCAAAATGCTCCATCCATATATTGGCAACCACTGGAGCCACGGGACTGCCCATTGCGACCCCATCTATTTGGAGGTAGTACTGACCCTGATATATGAAGAAATTCATCGACAAACAATGATGCAACAGCTTGGCATATTCCTTCGGGATGTCATTTTCTTGCAACTTCACCTTCACCACTTCCAGACAATCCAACACAGGTACATTTGTGAACAGCGATTCTACGTCAAAACTGACCATCAACTGATTTTCATCTACCTTGTTTTGGTGTAAGATTTCTATGAAATGGCGGGAATCCTTCACAAACGACGACGTTCGTCCCACTATCGGCTGCAATACTTTTGCCACGTGCTTGGCCAGTTCATATGTAGGTGAGTCTATCTGACTCACGATCGGACGTAGGGGCACATTTGGCTTATGGATTTTCGGCAGACCATATAGTTTTGGAGGCTGGATGTTCCTAGGACGTAATAAATATTTGACAATGTCATCGTCTAAAGCGTGGGCGCATTCTTTTATGAGTGAGCGAGTGTTACGATCTGTCCTTGCCGTTGGGTTATAATTCACCTTCTTGTATATGTGTTCGTCAGTGAGTAGACTCTGGATTTTGTTTTCATACTCACTGGTATTCATTATGACTGTCGCATTCCCTTTATCAGCTTTTAGTACTAGTATATTCTTGTTCTTATGAAGATCTCTCAAGGCCACTGATTCGGAAGAAGTAATGTTCGGTCTTGGTGGCCTCGCATGACGTAACACCACAGCGACATCTTGCCTGAGCGTATCCGCATCTATTGCTGGTATTTTATTACGTATGACACCCTCTTCAACTGACCCAATCACTTCCTCATAGGGAATACGTCTAGGTGTAACGGCGAAATTCATCCCTCTTTCAAGAACAGACTGTGCAGCGTCGGACAACTCAATACTTGACATATTGATTACCGTTCGAGTTGGTAGTGAGTTCTCGTGGTAGGGGACATCCGGCTTTTGTCTTTGTAACAACAACTCGAACTTACGATCTTGTTTTATAGCGCTTAGTTCCCTGGTACGTTGAGCTTGTAAGTATGTAACACGATCGCAAATATCAAAGTCACTTGTCGAAAGAGTTTCACTGCACTTCAGATGGATTTCGTATAATTCACGCTGACTTTTGTCTAAGTGGTACCTACAGTTACGAATCGATTTTCGCAATAGTTTTACACTCGCGTTTCGCAGAATACTCGCGGAACCATGAATGTCTGGTCGTAGTTTTATCCTAACGCATATAGGGATAATGTCCGAATCACGACACTTCACCAGGAAAGACAGTGATTTCTTTAAACACTCACACTTTTTCCGCGCGCGTTCTAGGTGTTTTATTAATTGAGACGTATCCGGCCCGTACCGGTTAACAATATATTGTTTTAAACTTTCATGGTCACTAACATTATAGTAATATAAGTTATTTACGGGATTGTTACCATGTACCTTGTTTTTAGCGAGTTTCCGATATTTCGGCACTGTTGCAAGCGCCATGATCACGGAGTAACTGAAGTAATTGCGGGTAGCCTGTTATTGGCAGACATATCGGTCTACCCTCCGACGAAGTCTTTTATTGCGACCCGTACCACTGTTCACATTCTCACTATTCACTCGAAACTGTTCTCGACACACAACACTTACAGTATCGGATCGCGACACGACACTTTTTTGATTATTTCCGGTTTTACACATACGAACCACAGGATTCCAGACACTCGACAATTTAAACCCGTCCTCACGATTGAAATTTTTATGTTTTGTTATTTCAATCGCTTCCCTGACCAATCTTGGTATGTAGTGGCGTTCTGTCGAGATAATCTGTGGGTTATGAAACTCAATCCAGTGGTTAGTGCCGAAATATCGGAAACTCGCTAAAAACAAGGTACATGGTAACAATCCCGTAAATAACTTATATTACTATAAAGTAAATATATTATACAAAGGTGTCCGTTGAAATCTAATGACTGTAAATTAAATTATAAATTACGCCAAGAATTACCGTGTATGTCAATATTTTTTGTGCATTTAGGCCAATTTGAGCAATCTCCTTTACATGTTAAGCAGACGATAAATAATTTTCATATCTTCGAGAAGCAATTATATTGCATTATGCATGTTGGCATTAATTTTATCTATAAATGATTTATTTGTGACGCTGACATTATTAGATATCACAATTATACTTACTTACTCATTATATCGTCTGCATTGCACCGGTTGCTGCCAGTCGCTGATCCCCTGGATGTCCCGGGGGATCACCGGCCCTCCCATTTGGGGGGGGGGGGGGAGTGAGTGGGGCTCGCCATATGCGAGGAGACGCCGACGAGATCGTGGATGTGTTCTCGCGACTTTTAATATATTTGTTTACTTGCAAAAGATGATGTACATATTTTGTAAGTGATGAGTACTTTCATAAAATTAAATACCTATTATGAAAACTGTTTAATAAATGACTGTGATAGAGTGATTTTAGAGAAACAAACATTTGCAGTCGATGCCATATGTTGATTGATCTGAGTTGCCATTTAGCAAATGTTAATTTGACTTCAAATATTTGACATTAAACTTTCGTTATAGTTTAGTAAATAATATACTTTATTGACATTGTATTTTAATGAGCGCCTATTAATAAATTGAACGATATTTATTTCAATTAGGGCCCAATTGTTTTCAAGCCTAGTTGACATGTTAATAATATTATTTGATTTTTATTTATTTTAAAGTAAATTGTTGTATTATATTGTAGTGCCCCAACGGGGTTCCATGTTTATACCTAATGTATTTATATTTTAAGACCTTTTAAACCATGGAGACAATAAAGAATTGAATTGAATATATCTATAGGCATTATCAACACCACTGTGATCTTAAATCTATTATGTACCCCTTGCACAAACCAATATCGAATTCGCATAGTTTGCAAGTCTGAAATGTCATTGTCAAATTTTGTATGGAAACTCGATGATGACTTCGTCTGTTACACAATAAAGAGTACCAGGAAGATTTAAATCATAAATTACTTTTAAATGAGACGAAAATGCAAAAATTTTGAGGAAATAATAGTCAGCAAATGCTTGGGAGGAATCTTCAGCAGATTAGATGGATCGTTCAGCAATGTAACTTTTTGCTGTCAGCTGAAACTTCTTTACATAGCGCCACAGATTCTTTAAGTTGAGGCAAGAATTAATTCCATCATTAAAGAGCTCGATGGCGCAAGTGGTTAGCGCGTTCAGCTGCGATCGTTGAAGTTAAGCAACTTTCACACACAACATTCGGTCATTGGATGGGTGACCAAAAATTTAGTCTCTCGATCTCGATCTCCTCCGTGCTTTCGAAGGCACGTTTAGCCGTTAGTCCAGACTACATCTGCAGTCGTTAGCACTCATCAATGGGTCAGGGCCAAATCTCCCTATTCCATCCATAGGGAAGGCTTGTACCCCAGCAGTGGAGATATGATCTTAATTTCATGTCATCACAAAATTATCATCAATTCAAGTTAACCATGATGTCCTTTTTAAGTGATGAGTTTGTAATGTCTATTAAGCTAATACATACCTCCTATTTTATAAAATATTACCTTAACTTGTTAGGTATGATGATGATGATATCAGTCGTATGACGACCACTGTTGAACATAAGCCTCCCCCAAGGATCTCCACACCGATCGGTCCTGCGCTACACGCATCCAGCGGATTACTGCAAACTTCATAAGTTCGTGGGTCCACCTGGTGGGTAGCCCGCCCACAGTGCCCACTGAGCGGCTTCCAGTGCGCAGTCGCCACTCAAGAACCCTTCGACCCCTACGACTGTCGGTTCTGCCTGCTGCGTGTCCCGCAATTCTTCGCAAGACGTGGATTACTTTAGTTCTCCTACGGATTACCTCATTTGTGATTCTATCCCGTAGGGCAATACTGAGCACCGCTCTCTCCATTGTTAGCTCTGTGACCTTGAGCCTTCTTATGAGACCCACAGTAATCTTTTACTGCGGGTCTCATTCGCTTGCGAAGGTCATCACTGGCATCATTCACTGGTTAAAGACTTATGTTTTGAGACACTGAGAGGTAATTTAGACGTGAAGCTTTTTTGCTGAACACTACAGTGACCAATTCTTTTGAGCTGAACACTACTGTGCCCAAATTATAACCTTTGGAAACTCGATCAAGAGATTTATTAAACAAAGTATCGAAATTTTGAGTTATTTGAATGTAGAAAGCATAAGGATATCTTAGAAACTGTTTTTAAGAACCAGTTTTATTAATGAATTCCAGATGTTTTCTTGGACATTTTTTATTGAGATAAAATAAATTTCTAGTTTAATGCTTAAAAATAGCAAAACATTCATACTTATGTGTTATAGTACATCTCTCGGCTCTCTTTTGACCATGGCTTGTAAAAGTGGCACTAAAGATAAAGCTGACTTTCTTTTAATATGAGAACGGATGTTTAACAGCCAATAAACTATTGCAACATGGCCAGCACGTGCATCCACGACAACCGCATGGTCTGTGCTTCTACGCCTGATGGATGCAACCGGCGCAGTTTCCTGGACCAGTGCGATATGTACGAGTTTAACTGCGATTATGGCACACGTATGTAATCAGATTTACCCTTATTACCAAGATCGTCGCCAACCAATGGCCTAGAGAAGGGGGCAAATATTTTGCCAGGCAAGCGAGTCAAATGAGTGGACTAATGAATTTAGCTCGTTTTACATTTAGCAAAATTTTGTATGTGTAGAGGGGGCGCCCTTGCTTATCTTACCGGCCACAAAAAAGTTAGACATGCGTTCAACGCTTCACTACAAAAAATGTGCCCAAACATGTTTTAAAACAGTGCCTTTTTTGTTCTTATGTTCGTGTGTATGTAATTGAACTCCTCCTGAGCGGGTGGACTGATTTGATTTTAATGATTGTTTGAAATCACAATTAGATTTGGAAGGTGGCGCTGCAGATGGTCAGGGTAACGTCCTTAGGGTACACTAGCAATAATTATATAAAATAGTATTTGTTAATTTCTGTTTGTAAGGGTAACAAAAGACGATGATGCCTTTACTTTCTTCTAAAAATTATAAAAAATCGTTTCAGCGCTTTGGAGTGACAAATTTCGTCACAATTAAATTGTTTATTTTAGTATTGAATTCAAAAACACGTTATGTTATTCATGTCGGTAAATTTAGTTGAGACAGCCACATATACTAACAGATACCGTACATACTTATAAAAAATAATGATATTCATTGTGAATGAATAAGGCGAATATTTGAGATAGACCCACCTTCGTACGCATTATGAAAAATACTTAAAACTTAAGCGTACAGGATTTTTATAGCCAAGCTTTGATGCTTAGTATGTAAGGTTTATTTTGGCTTAGTTGATAATAATGTTGACTTAAATCACAATTAGTTGCTTTATGGGATTAATGCTCCAAATTAATCTGGTAATGTACACTAACGTCATACAATTTAAGTGTATATTGCGAGATTTCTGGGTATGCGCATGAAAGTCATTGTATAAAGATTTGAACATGTGATAAATGAGATTAATTCGCATTTATAGCTATCTCTGTATTTAACAAATTTTACAATATGAAACTGGTATACAAGGTTAGATGATAGAGGTCAAAATAGGTTGGGCAACTTTTCTAGCGGAGTCCAGGCCCGGGAAGCCCGGGCCCTGCATTGCACCGGTTGCTGCCAGTCGCTGATCCCCTGGATGTCCCGGGGGATCACCGGCCCTCCCATTTGGGGGGGGGGGGGAGTGAGTGGGGCTCGCCATATGCGAGGAGACGCCGACGAGATCGTGGATGTGTTCTCGCGAGTTCCCACCTTGTCCGGCAGCGACGCGACCCTCCCCGACGTGTCCTTTTCGTCAGACGACGATGAGGATGCGGTGATGATGGGCGTGCTCGTGCGTATGTGAGGGGCATCGGTGGGTTTTAGTCGGTAGGCCGTGGTTTCCCTTCTGGAGAGCATTCTGTTTGCCTCCAGAAGCCGCGGAGAGTACGACATAACCCCGCGTACCCCAAAGCGCGGGATATGCGTAATGCATTTCCCACCGTTAAAAAGGTTGGGCAACTTTCGGAAAAGTATCCCATTTCTTGAAAACTCGCATTTTCTCAAACGACCCGCGTTCACCCAATGTGTTCATTTTGTACTGACTTATGGACCCAAATGTTTCCGACAATGCAACATATTTCCACCATACGAGTCGCTCAGAGAAAAACAGAGTCATGCTCGGTATATCCCTTGAGATCGTGTACGCAATCATCGGAGATACGGAAAATAACAAAACTACCCAACATTAACTGCGAACGTGCAGGGAAGTAATGGAGGTGAGCAGGTCACGTGGCTCACAGAACAGACAACAGGTGGAGTCAAGCGGCAGCCTAGGACAGGAGGCAGAAACATAGGGAGGCAGTAGGCCAGATGGTCCGATGACAACGCCTAAATAGTAGGATGGAATTGGATCTAGATGGCCTAACACCTAGCAAATTGACACTGCATGGAGGAGGCTCAGGTAAACCGAGCAGTGAGTAGATGCAGGTTGAAGAAGAAGGACATAATTTTGGTGTGTGTCCGCCCGGATAGCAGAAGGTGCAGATTCGAATCCTGTCTGAAGCCTGGGCCGCGTGATGTTTTCTAGTAAAATTTTAAATCTTAAGCAGTAAAGTGCTTAAAATATAAATATAATAAAGTTCAATACTGAATAGAAAATATTAATATTATAAACTTATGATTGTAAACACATAGGAGAAAGTCTGTAAAAAAATGTTTCCGATAGCGCTGGTATGCCGGTAATACAGGTATCAGCTGCTTTACCAACATTAAACTGTAATAATGTCAATATTCCAATAAATAACCAATAATAACCGCTTTGTCTTTGACAGTTATTATGTGTACAGCTGTGTAAAGGAATGTGTTTCCGGAAACATGTGATTTAGACCTCTTCAAGGTTAGAGTGAACAAGCATTTCCTATGTCTGAATCTATAATATATTTCGTTATCCATTTTTACTATAGTTGATATGTTAGTGTCGCCGCACACGGGCCACACGCCACAGCCATAAACGCCGCCACGAGAATATAGAAGCGGCTACTAAAGTGGCTGAAGCACGCGACAGCGGCGGACTAAGGTAAGGGAGAGAGGGGTGGGGAATCACGCGAGCGACGTATGGCGGCGTTTTGTATCGGCGCATTAAGTGGCCGGTGCGGGCCACAAGAAGCCAGTAACGACGATTTGTAGCGTGTGGCGGCCACCGGCGCGGCGTACCGTGTGTGGCGAGTTCATATAAAATGTATGAAAACTACAAGAAATATGCCAGTGACGGCGTTTTGTGGTTGTGGTCAGTGGCCCGTGTACGGCGACACTTATTTGTAAAGTTTGTTCAGTCACGTACTCCTCCTTCCGCTCCTTCGTTTTCCGAAGGCCCCAGACCTCGAAATCCGGTTCTGTATAAACAGGTACAGCGGAGGATATTTAGGGCGGCTGTTGAATGTTGCGGGCTTGAATGTTTTACGAACAAATTTTTATATTAGACATATTATCGCTTGACATAAAGACGTACGCTAGTCGTGCCTAAATAAAATAAGAGTGGAAGTAATATAGGCTTTCTGAGGAAATATCCACCATATTATATCACAGCAAATTACAGCCAAATGTCATCATCATTCAATCTAAGTGTTGTTGGTTGTAGATATTTTGGAATTTTTAGTTCATTTTTGACAGATCAATGGAGTTTTTTTGGGTTCCGTTACCAAAAAAAAATGCATTACAATGTTATTATAGATGGTGCTTGGTTTCTTGAAAGCTGCAAGCCCCTATTTAAAAAAAAATAAATACTTCCATTGCCCTGCATGTACATAAAGGAAGCATGTTTCTTTGTCAGGGATCACATCAAGTATTTCGAGAAATGAGCAATAGACACACGAGATGTCAATATAGAAACTTATTATATCAGCCTCCTTGCCACGCATATATTTAAAAAGTTAATGCCTACAACATGTTAATATGTATATATAATAAATTACCTGACAATATAAAATTAGAAACTGTTACAAAGTTTAAAAGTAAGTTGACAAAATGGTTACAAAAAAATGACATTATAGTATTAAGGAATATATGACAGATATATAAATAGCTGACTTCAATATTTGCACACCTGCCTGCAGGTAGAATACATGTACTTACTTCTATAAAATGTATCAGCCTATGTACTGTATTTTGGCAAATTAATTATATTATTATTAAAGGGGACCATATTACTGAGGCTCCATTGTCTGTCTGTCACCAGTCTGTATCTCATGAATAAGTAGCTACTTATAACTGTTCAATCTTTTAGAGATGATGTATTTCTGTTGGCGCTAAAACAACAAATACTGAAAACAGAATTAAAAGGGGGCTCCCATACTAGAGCCGTGGTTTTTTGGTGCTCTTTGCTTTATTAATATTTAGTTGTATATTCACTTTATTAATGATTGAATTAAAATTAAATTTAAATGAGTTCCCATACAAAGGACGTGATTTTTTACTCAATATTATAATATAATTTCTAATGTTGTACAGATAGTGAACCCTTTTGTGCGCAAGTCCGACTCATACTTGCCTGTTTTCTGTTTCTGATTAATTAATTGAGAGTTTTGGTGAGGCGAATGAGCATTTAGAAGTTGCGGTGGATAGAATAAATAAATGCACACAAAAACATACATTACGCTCTTTACGAGCTCTGAAAACATTCAACTCCTTTTATTCAATCGAACTTCTCTTGATTCTCGTAATTAGTAGTTCACGCCTTAAATCAAAGCCCAATGAAATGGGGTCATGCCTTATTAGCAATGACGACTGTTTCAAGCTGCCGCGGAGGGCGGCCCTTAGCCTCATCGATGGACAGAACAGCTCTGAAAACAGACCACCACGTGGTGGAAGAGTCAATGGACTTGCCCCCTGATAGTTAGAAAGAAGAAGTCAATCACACCTCCAGATAAAAGTTGTAGAACAGGTCGCTGAAAAATAAACTTCTCTTGGAGATTATCCATAAATTTTGACGAATACCATTATCCATTAAACCAATGTAAACATTGTAAATATGTAACTTGCATTATCTCTCAAATATATTATATCTTGTAATTACATACTGTAATAGTGTTATAAAATGTAATTATTATAATTTTGCTTATAACCAACGTTAATATCGTGGCTTTTGCTGTAAAGAGATAATCTTATTTACTTAATTTATTTTAATCTTCAACTCTAGGTAGAGTCATACAAGAACTCAGGTTAATATTAATTTGAAATTGATACAAACAGTCAATATCCAACTATATACATTACACGCTTCAAATTAACGGTTATCGGATTGTACACAACACAGTCTAAACTATTTTGTATTTTTTATGTGTTGTCATGTTGTTATATTTATAAATAAATATTAGGTAATACTAAAATTATGTTTTAAACATTCAGTAGGGTGCAAAAACATTGAATCAATCAAATTAATAGATATTTGCTACATCGTGCATAAACAACATCCTTAAATATCTTTTCAGAAAGCCAAACAGCGCTTAACGCCATTAACCCGAACACGAATTGCTCGAAATTGGTAAAAGACTGCGTTGATAAACTGAACAACCTGGATCAAAAGAATAAAGTTATCCTTAAATGGGTACCAGATCATTCAGGGATAATCGGCAACGAGAAAGCTGATGAATTAGCAACAGCAGGGGCACAGGGGCAACAGATGGGACTAGAACCTTTCTGACGCATCCAACGTCCAACCTTCTAAAAAAATACTAGTTAAACCGACCAGGATTAGAGCACGCTAAATCACAAAAGAAGGTTACTCGAAAAAACGGACTGTTGAGTTAATAGAACTTAACACCCGTGCTATCGTAAGAGTCTTAACTGGATACTGCAAACTAAACAGACACCAATTTCATATGAAATTGAGTGACACTGATGTTTGCAGATACAGCAATCAGGAGCGTGAAACACCAAAACACCTTCTATGTGAATGAGGGCCTCTCATCCACAAACGTAGTATTCATTTCGGACGACATATAACACGCACAGAGGAAATCAAATTTCTAAAAGCTAGAAACATTTTGAGCTTCGTGGAAGCTGTCGGGCTAAAAGAGATACTTTAACTTGTTGGCGAGTCACAATAGATCTTATAGCTCGCAGTGACTACAGTCCTATTACGACTGCATAGTTCCAAAAATCTTAAATAATAATAATACATCGTGCTTTAATAGGACGAACTATTTAACTTTTTAAACTTTACTGAACAGCAAATAAACCAGGTCACTAACTACCTCGGAACTCTGATTGTTTTTCCCAAAAAGTATAAATCTTGCAACAATTAAAGTTATACCAACAGAAATTGAGTTTCATGATGATTAATATGTTGATAATAATGATAAATAAACAGAAAACTACCTCTTGAGGTCAATCAATTTATAAAGTTTGTATTAAGAATTTTCCAAAGAAGGACCTTTTTCCATTTGTGCTATCAGTAGTAAAAATCGCAGCAAAACATACACACTTGAGAAAACGATAGACAAAAACTGAAAAAATTATAAGAAGTATCAGGAAATCCTAATTTTTTTAAAAGAGCTATAATCGCACTCTTTTAAAAAAAACAAATCGTTAGCATTATGTTTCAAGTTACAAAGTAAGTTGACAATAAGTACTTTTTTTGTCATTTTAATCATCATGAAACGCACTTTCAGTATATATAGCTTTGATATAAGTAAGATTTATATTTGTTGAAATCTAATCAGAACGCGAAAGTACTAGCGGTGACTCGGTTTGCTGTCGAGTGCTATCCTAGCTTGCTTATCTTCTCGTATAAATTTTTATTTAATTTTTGTTTTACAACTATTGCTATTGGTTTTGACCTAAACTTAAACAAGTTTTATCTGTTATCTTTCAGAGTACATGACGAAAGTAACAACCTCGTGTGGAAATAGTGAAGTTAACTTCTCGTGCTGATTCAAGATTATATATCTTAAAATTTACTGAATAAAGTTATTTCCATCATGTACACGATAGTTTTTCTTTCTACTCTGTATAGCTTTTGGACCCGATTAGACGTTTCATATATTGGTAATACTTTGATTCAAAGAAAAAAATTAAGTCGAAAACGTTTGTATGAAAAAACATGCCCACCTTCCCTCTTAACGAGATAAAGAGTCACAACAGACAGACAGCCATACTGATAAAAAAGTGATCCCATAAGTCTTCCATTTTTTCCTTTTGAGGCACGGAACCCTAAAAGAATACATTTTCAGGTTATCAAGAGACATACTTACTACTATGTTCAGCGCAAACACCAAACTTACCTGAAGCGTCGTATTCAGGATATGTACCAGGTAATGGATTTCAATTATAATTCATAAAACTGTTTCTAATCTAGTTTCCCAATTTAATTCTAATACTGTTTTAAACTTTCATGGTCCTAACATTATACTTATTAACGGAATTTCTGCCTTATGCTTTGTTTTGTGTGAGTCCCAGATATTTCGGCACTATTGCAAGCACCATGCTGAATGGTAGAAATCTCGTTAATAACTATAATTTAAATCTTGAGACCTTGATGAATTCTTTAGTATATCTAAACACAAATGATAAAAATAACTTTATCAACAGACAGTTTATATTAATATGTATTCAATTAGGTGTTTTAACAGTTAAGTAGTTTATTTAATAAATTACTCTTGCTTGATAAATCATGAAATATTAGGCACATTCTTCAGTTGCAGATCCTGATTAGAGTTGAAATTAAAAGAACAGCTAAATAGTAATAGTTATAAAGAGAGAAAATAAAACTGTGGAATGCAACATTTTATAACTAAGAAGATCTGATTAATTAGGTATAATTCACAGGATTTACAATATCAGATTAAAACTGTTTATTTTCTCGCTCATCTTATTTATTTAGGCAAAGTACTTAGATCATAATCATCATAATATTAACTTAGTAATTCTACAACTTTGTACTCAGTAACAATGTTTCAGAATGCGTTTAATAGAAAATATGAAGAATAGAATAATTATATATTGCAGTATTTTTAAATTTCTGATACAGTACAGTCATATTGGTCGGTTTTCATTATTCCAGTATGGGTTCAAGTCCAGTAATCCAGTCTTCCATTCACGCGATTTAATTCCACTTCCATTGTTTACACGATTCTTATACATAACAAGATATCAATTTGAAGTGAGCAAACGTTCGTTGGCAGATAAAGTCTAATGGAAAGTATAAATCGAATAAGACTGAAAAGTTAAAACATGCATTTATGGCACTTATACTCACTGAACTGGCAGATATTAATGGAGAAGAGATGGTCAAAACATGTGTTACAGTTCAGCGATAGGTTGTTGATCGCACTGAAACTAGAAGATCTGTATTACTTTTAACCCGGCTTAAAAACAAAGATCCGGAAGAGTACAAAATACTACAATGTTTGACGTTACCTTATACAGGGAATAATTCAGCGATTAGATACTTTATTTAGTAATGCTATGCCAACAAAAATTAATAACAAAATCGAGTGTAATCCCAACACGAACAAACCTATGCGGAAACCACACACACGCTTGCAGTGTACTGGATAGATACTAGATTGTCGTTCATTGCATTCCATTAATATTCCAGTAGAGTATTGTGTAAACAATTGACAGTGGCGATAGCTACTGGATAAAACAATAGAAAACTATTCTAGTGGACTAGGCTAGAATATCTTTTTTGTAAAAATACTGGAATGGGTGAACGAAAGAGTGAATGAAAGAATGCCAATTTGATCGACTGGATTTTGGACTCGAATGCTGGCATAATGTAAAGTAGCCATATGGAATCAGTAACCTATTTGTTTTAATTGACAGTTACAACTACAGCTGCCGTCGAAACTACCACACTTCCTAACACCGTTTCCTTTACTACAACCAGTGATGCTCCTTTCCCACTGACAACTAGTAATAATGTTAAAACTACTACTATGAGTACGACTTCCCCCACAAATAGTACTAAACCAATAGAATACTCTCAGGAGATGGGCGATGAAATTACCATAACCTATGACAACGATACAACGATAACTAGTCGACTCCCCGTTATTGACATTAATTCTGTAGTCGCAAATTACGAGAATATAACTTTTACGAGTACTTTATGTTGTGATCGGCCCCAGACATGGGAAACAACTACTGATGTTGATACATCGATAGTTTATATGGACCAAGATAATAATTTGAATACATTTCCAAATTATACAGAAACTGATCCTATTACAACAAAAGTATCTTCGGTGTTAACTGATTCATTCAGTAGTACCCCAGTATCGATTTCTACAAAAATGGATCCATTTAATGCCACAGTATTTATGAAAAACGTTACTTTATCTGACTTCACACCTACAATGGTACAAGAGACGACAGCAAAAACAGATCCATTTAATGTTAAAACGTTTATGGAAAACGTTACATTATTTGTCCCCACACTTACAACAATTCAAGAGACAACAAAACTCGACAACGATGTAAACTATGTCAATTCAAATTTTATCAAAAACGAAGTTTCCATGACCTCTGGTCTTTTAACTCCCTATGTGAATGAGACAACAAAAGCAAATTGTATTACAGAGCCGAGTCACTCCAATGAAACGGATAAATGCTGTGATAGACCCAAAAAGTGGGAAACCACGAAAGAAACAACACCACTTGTTGTAATTTTGCAAGGTACAGTATATGAACATATAAAAATACAGAACTTAACAACTGTCGTTGAAGAAACCACTATAATATTTGATTATAGTAAGGATGACTCTAAAATTATACATATTGATGTTACTCCTAGTACTGAATCCCCAATTAGCAGAACCACAAAAGCTCCTACAACATCTACTTATCCTGTTACTTTAGATAGCAGCACAATTACTACAGTTGTGACGTCAGATGTGGAGTCTGATGACATGACTTCTCGGGTAGGTTTAACATACCACGAGGAACCCCTGACTCTGAAAAAGACAACTTGGTGGTATCCAACTTTCTGTAAAACAGATAACTGTCAGAGACCCGTCACATGGGAGACGACTGTACCTAGAACCCGTAAAAAAAATATTAAATATTGAAATAAAGAGATTCACACCAGTAACTGTAAGTTTTAATTTACCTTTCATTTATGAAAATTATTATTTTGAAATTTCAATTACAATATATCGTCGACCGTAATTTCAATTGGCGTAAGGGACAAACCATTACTTTACAGGAGAAGCCAAAAACGTTTTTATTTTATTTTAAACAGCTGTAACTTTTTATATTGTACGCCTATTTTGATCATCTCAAAGGAAAGCATACATAAAATTTTGAGTTCTTTAACCTGTAGCTATTGAAAATACTCTAAATTGTTTATCTTGTTAAACAAAGTCCCTTACGACCTCCTCATTTAAACCACTTCTGTCCCATAAAGCTCGTGAAAATGTACACAATACATACCCATTGGGAAATAAAGGTTAGTTTTACTAATTTACATAAACAATTTTGGTCGTAACGGTAGTTAAAAATAAATGAAAGACGTAACCAAACGAAATTCTTATTAAAATAATTAAATTACTACGGATATTTTCGTTTGTGAGGTCATTTGTAATGTTTTATAAAAAAGAAGACAGAGTTATGTCATATTCTTTTTATTTCACAATAATAAAACGCTCGAATTCTCTAACTGAAGAGTCATGGCACTCATTCATTACGGAACTGAAATCAAACTTAATTAATCGCAGATTTCGCAGAAAGGAACTATTTCCGTTTCATAACTATTTTGAATAGCTGGCTAAGAAACATGTAAATGATAAAAATTAAAAAAACTAACATCTTTAGTCCACGCTCAATGATAGAAACGCTTTAAATGACGTATAAAATTAACAAAATGCAATAACAAAAAATCTCTGGATAACTTCACCAATAAAATAACAAACATCAATTAGACCCAATTTTACCAACGTTTTTAATTCAAATTTAAAGCTAATCATGTTGAAACCTCATTCTATCTCTATTTGAATTTAAATTGACAATGAGAAAATGATGTGTTAAACACGATTAAGCCTTATTTTGAATTTTGAAAAGAGCTTTGGTGCACGTGGGCTTTAATCTAACAACAAAATTTAGGAACCACAACCACACAAATTTAAAAGCCTCATTCTATCTCTTTTTGTCTTTTAACAATTGACAAAGAGGAAATGAATTATCTGTTATAATATATGTTTGTAGGCTTAATTTGAATTAAGAACTTTTGTGCAAGTGGGCCTAAATCCTGAAAAAAAACGTCATCATACATAATAGGATGACTATAACAATAAGACACAAAATAAAAAAAAAACAATTTCAAACTCAGAATAACAATTTTTGGTGACCTCTCTAAAGTAATGTAATCTCAAAATCATTGAAATTACTATTTATGCAAGAAAAAAAATTGCTAAAATCTTAAATAATCAAAAACTCTGCATGTATTTTCCAAAATACAATTTGACTGAAAGAATAATGAAAACTGAAAACAATTGCTTACGAAATCAAAATTTAAGCACTTAAATCTACGTCATCATCTTCTTCGTCGGTCTCTGGAAGTGTGTCCACAACTTTGGACATAAACGGTGACTCACTGTATTCTTTGTGAAACCGTTTTGGGATTGTACCATTTTCACACAAGCGCTTCAAATCTTTGTACTTAGCAACTGAAATGGGCAGACGTTTCTTATACAACGGTTGCAATACAATATTTCCTTCTATGTCTCTTTTATTTTCATTTTCAATAATTTGATGTTTTCCCTTATTCTTTATGTTTTTTCCTTTGCCTTTTCCTTTCTTGCTACTAATCAGTTTCTCAAATAAATTTATGCACTGAACATCAGCGTCTTCTGTCATAGAACATTTCACCTCAATTTTTTTCAAATCTTTCTTCTTTAAAGTTACAATACGAATCTTCTTCAATTGAACTTTTTTCAGAGTTTCGGGTGTGAATGCTTTAGAAACTAAAGGTTCCCAGTTAATGAAATCATTATGATCTAGCACATCTACAATGTACGGGGCATGTATTAATTTCAATTGAATTTAAGGTACTTAAGTAAGTAATGTAGAAACTTATGTAACGGACATTATTACGGGATCTGTAATTTAAATTATTTACGTAAGGGACACAAAAACAGAGTATGACATTACATAATATCAGAAAAAAGGATGCTTGAAAACAGGGTGTGACATTTACGACCTATTTCTTAGTAATGATAATATTGTATTGTGATCGTAAAGGATGTGAAAATATAGTATATCAATTATGCCCTACTACTTCTTTACATAGTGTTACATACGACGTTAAGTCTGGATAACCGAGACCCTTAAAGTCTTTTTTTACACAAAAACGTGTTTAGAGTGTAAAAAAAATTGGGTCTTAACGAACCAATTTTGCAAGATATCAACATTTCAAATATACCATTCGATAGAGAATTTCAAACTGAGTGTAGAACGCTAAAAAAGTGATTTTCTCATTTTTGTCCCTTACGCCAATTGAAATTACGGTCGACGATATGTGGTTTTTTGTAGACTTTATTCTGGAAACATATGACAACAACAGCAATCAGTCGAATTTACGGAATCAACTCAAAGGATTCATAAATTATCAAATGTTAAAGTAACCGAAACACAGAAGAACAGTTAAAACACAATAATATAAATCAAGATAATTCAAAATGTAATAATAATAAGGGATGTTTTAGATCTTTTACCTGGCAAACCACTGCTATTTGCGAAACAAGAGATTTCTTTAGGATTCTGTAAAGAATCTAATATAACTGTAGTTTGAATTGGTATAGGATTTGTTGAGTAAAATTCTTTGTAACAATAAAACAATTTATTTAATTACCTCTTAATAGTAACGTTTATGATCTAAAACTTTAATTCTACGCGCGAATTTATAAACAAGTACAAGTAATTACTTCATTGCTAAGTAACTAAGTCATTATTTATTAATTATCAATAATACAAATAGTTATTTAGCGACTATAATGGCGACTATTACTTGGTAAGTTATTCTAATTGTTGATCAATTTCTTAAATTGAAGGAAAAATTTAGCTCAAATCATTACTTAAGCAGAAGTAATGTCTTTTACTTTTTTACAAATACGACGGTAGGTATACTTCTACTTTGTACAAACGAGGTAGAACTTACACAGCAATTTAATATAAATTAACTTGATATTTTAAAAAAATCAATTTACATGAATATGTTCAAACATACATGAAAACGTCTGTATGATTTATATCAAAATGTTTTAAATTACGCAATTTCATAAAAGTAACAATCATTAAATTTAAAATAGAAAAACACCAAGACAAATCCATCAAAGCAAAATTTGCTAGCCGACCTAGTGGCCAACCACGAGGATAAATGTTACTTTTATAAAATAATTCATTTACAAAATGTCAAAATTGCAGGTAGTAATTCGATATCATTTTTTAAACAGCTAACAACAATAATATCTTCACTATATAAAAATTAATTTCTATAATTATTCTTCATTTTTACATTACGTTAATAATTTTAAAAGTATCTACTTGAATAGGCACATTTTATTATTGGTAAAATATCAGTGGTAAGGAAACAACTGATATTTTGACAACATTAACAAAATATTCGATGCATAACTTTTACAATACAATCAGATATCACAATAATTTCATTATAATATTTTTGTTTTTTTGTTTTCAAAATACTATATTATTTAATTATGTATCACATTTGAAATAAATGCTTGCTGATAATTCTATATTTTTTCGGTAAGAATTTATGTATGTGGTTAAATAGGCGTTATTTTTGACTCTGGTTATACGACACGGACGGATTTTAAATGGAATTCATTTAATTTTTGTTATTTATTGTGTTCTTCGCTGGAAAACTAGAAATTATATTAACAATAAGTTTCCTCGTAAATTCGACAACTTTTATGTCATCTTAATACTAGAACTAGTAACTATCTTAATTTGTGGAAAAGTTTGAATACTCGATTGTAAAAATTTAAGTAACATTTGACTAGTATAAATTCGCACGTTCATTACTAGTACCGAGTTTCTTTCTAAAGGAATTTATGAGGAAGTCGTCAGCGAATATCTTCCTCCCGCCTTTGTAAAAGGCTTCTATTTCTTCTAATGACTTAGATTCGGTTTCTGGCATGAAGAAGTAGAGGTATATTGTGCCAACGAGACCGAAGGCGGAATACAAGGCGAATGTACCACTAAGGTGCATACTAGCCTCGAGGTTGTAGTTGGTTTTTGAAGATAGGAAGAAGATCACGTAACTCAAAGCGGCAGCAAGGCCAGTTGCGACACCGCGACTCCTGAGAAATAAGATTAAGAAGAATTAGAAAATAATTTGTATGATCAACTATTTTTCATCTGGACATCAGCAAGAAATGATTTCCCTGACTTTTCAATAAAATGAACCACATCAAATGATAGCAAATGTTATTTGAATTTAGGACCATGTGATACTTTTTAAACGTACGTGTCCATCATCATTATTAGCCTATTATCCTCGTATAACCTCTATAACAGGGCACAGGTCTGCACAATGGATAGAATAGGGAGAGATTAGGCCATGACCCACCACGCCCAGTATGTATGCTAAAAACTGCAGATGCCGCCGGGACCAACGGCAACAAGCCTTCCGTAGCACGAAGGAGCTCGAGACACTTCAAATTTTTTGTCACCCATCCAATGACCGATTGCTGCAAATGTTACTTAACTTCAACGGTTGCAGTCGAACCCGCTGATCAGTTGCACCATCGAGCCTCTGATCCTACATCGGCCATTGTGAAATCGGCCACGGTTGCAGACCAAATGTGCTTAATACTCGCGCCATTGGGCTCCTCTAACGTTTCTACGTCGACAGTGGAAAGGCAACATCGCTTATACGCCACTTTGGTCGAAAATAAATTAATACCTTAGATTAAAACAAAAATGGTTAACATATATAATTTTTATCAGTTTTTTTCTGCGTTGATCTGTTTCGTGACGATTTGAGTACTTTTTGGGACAAAATTTTTGTAAGATTTTTATTGTTCACAAAGGTGGAGCGACAAAATTTTTGGTATTTGTTGAACCAACGGCGCTTACGCCCTGCTATTTGGCGTATGGTTTGATGGTTGCTTGATAAAAAAATTATGGCGGCCCGAGTGATTTTCGCTTAAACGCGCTATGTAAATTTGTCATAGGAGGATTTTTAGAAAATATTATTTTATGAATGTTTTTATTTTTATGGCGCTACTTCTCTTTCACAATGAGTTATGTTTCTTTTGTGAAAAAAAAACTTCGATCCTCTAAGTTACTGGTAAAGTTACTAAAGTGGCGTTCTAGCGATTTTGCTATTCCACTATCGCTATACTTAGATTTATCTATTGAAACTTAGATTACTCTTACCTGAACGGAAACACTTCTGACAGTACCACCCAGGGTATTCCCAAGCTATTGAAGCAGACGAGCAACATAAACAGCAGGACTGGCGTGAAGCTCTTCGCTTCAGGGAAGGTGTTGACTTCGTAGGAGAATACTGACAGTGGTAGATTCGTCCCGGCATAAATACTTAGGCCAAGAGTGCAGCAGCTGGTAGCGAATAGTGCTCCCAAGATGAGTTTGCGCTTCCCAACCAATTTGACAATCACGGCAGATAATACATTCATTGCGATGAAAACGGCTCCAACTAAAACCTACAAATAAAATAAATAATCATTACTCGGCTTGATTTATATATTAAAAAAAAACATTATCCAGTAGACTAGACAGGACTCGAACCTGTGCTTTCCGAAATCTGGGCGGACGCTTTGAACGCGGAAGGTGTATATTCGAATTCTGTCTCATACCTGGACGGGACGCATATTTTTTCTAGTACTCTTTTTAGAAATAGGTATGTTAGAAAAATTTTATTTGGTTCTTAACTTATTTATTCTTATTATACTTGTATTTATCTTAAGGATTTTTGAAGCAAAGTCTGCCTGTTTAAAAAATTGGTAGATTATCCAATATAAAATGTTCTCCACTAGTTTTGACCCAGTATTTCGGTTAAATCGAGATTTTTTAAGGAACCTTTTCGTTTTAAAACTACAATATGAAACCTGATTGATAATTCTGTTGTTAAACCCAATAGACTCATTCCCTCTAAAATTCTTTTTCGTCAGACTTTTCTACCATGCGTCTAAGTCACCAATTTTAGTAACTACTCATCTCTCAATACCACATTATTATGTAAGTTTAAGGATTAAAAAAGTTTCACTAGAGAAAAATAATTTGGCCAAGGGTTTATTTAGATATATAGAAATGAAGTAGTTAAAGCTTATTGAAACAAATAAAAATCGTTAACTTCCAATACATTTTATTTACTTACCACAATAGCCTTCGAATCATATTTCATTCCTAGAGCGCCACAAAGGTTAACCATGTTTGGTCTAATTGGTAAAAATCCGCTCATTGCGTGGAAGAAGAAGTATGCCATTACTAAGATGAAAGGCCTTAAAGTCTCCTTGACCAGAAACACATGTTTGAACTTCATAACTGATTTTCTTAATAAATTTGTTCTGTCGTGTTCGCATGGTCGTATATCAGATTTGCCTTCTTTGGCGCAAATTACGCATTGCTGGATTATATCATTATAGGTAACAAGTTGGTCGAATTCCTCTTTTACTTCTTCGGGTTTAGCCCAACCTCGAAGTCGGCAGAGGGACCGCAGAGCCTCTTTTTGTCGCCCTTTGGAGAGCAGCCATACTGGGGTTTCCGGTACCTGCAAATTTAAAAATTAAACTATGAGATTTCTGTTTATGTAACAACCCCAATTTAATAGATTTTACTTAGAGCGTACATAAACATACATATTCGTTTCACATTAGCGTGTGATAAATAAATGATTAGGAAGCCTAAAAAACGTGAAAGCGGAAGCTTACAAAAATCTGGACTCAACATAATGATGATACATTATTTTGATTAAAACAAATTATTTAAAGGTCTTGTTAAATTTTTAATAGTTTGTGTTTGTTTGTAATCTTTAGTCACCGAGGTTGTTACCTTGTTTATTTATCTATAACACCATTGGCATTGGATAAATATATTACGCTATACAAAGTAAATCTAGGTCAGTAAGTGCCTCTGCACCATAGAACAACACGGCCGACGCGGCCTATGCTCTGCACCGCTGCTGTCTTCCTAATTTTCTATCCTTACAGGTTGTAAATCAGTTAAGATGTACTATATTAAATATCAAATAAATTTTATAAGGTATTTAGCGTGATTCGTCAGTAATTTGAATACCTTCACCCTTATTAAAGTTAGTACTGGTTTAAACCTCTCTGTCTTCTTTTCAGCAAGCATCAATGCCAGTCCAGGTTTTACATTGGTCTACGTTGTGTTTCCGACGTTAATTGATAAAATTTGACCATGTAAAGTAATTTCTTCTATTTTCTTACTTATGGATTTGTGTAGTCATAAATTGGAGGAATTGTAAATGAAATATAAAAATCGCATATATTCATATAACAACGGTGTATAAACAATATACCACCATTTCTTACTTCGTTAAGAACGACCAAAGAACTTGGAAGATAAATATATACGGAATCCAATATCTTAAAATCTGTCAATGAATCTTCATACAATTTTCATTAATCGTGACCGCAGTAAATCAGACAACTTAAACATGAGAGCAGTGGTTACATACTTTGTGTTGACTTGTGACTTCTAAGAGAAAAAACAATTGTGTGTCAGCTCCGACGCACGACTGGAGTTTACTCCTTAAGTTCGATAGTCTAACCAGACGCAAAAAGAGTTTATTTAACTTAAAAAAGATTGATACTGTATGAAAGGGTAAATTAAAAAATTAATGAAAATAATATACATATATAAATATATATTTATTCATTTCATATACATTTATTATAACTAATCGACGAAATATTTTACATTAAACTTTTTACAATAGTCAATTTCAGATGTGCATAAATTTATCATTAGGAATGTTGATAAATTATGTAATTATTATTATCAGACCATTATCATTTTTTAAATATTAATTAAATCAACATTGTCTGCATTATTAATTACAGTGACAAGTGGTTTATGGTAACTAAAATAAGACACATGGACGTTCGTAAATACGTGGTTCACGAATTTTGAAAATACCGTATCAATGGTTGTACCATACCTCGTTGTCCCCATTGCTCTATCAGAAACAATATCTAAATTCAGTTCAGATTTAAAAAAAAATATTAATGTCAATCCGTCATCTTTGTTTGTCAAAGTTGCGAGACATAGGATGCGCACCAAAAACGTATCGAGGTCATTCATCGATAGATTTTACTCCTCAAATTTTTCCTCACATTACCTTATATATGCAAATCGATTCTTAAGGAGTAAACTCCAAAAATCGACAAACTCTAAGCACAAAATAAGAAAAATCTGCACTTCGTAGAATAGAAGAAATGCAGTTAGTGATGAACTACTGACATTCTGGAGAGTGGAACATTTTCAGCACCGCGTACTTGTGTTTGAAACCACCTACGAATTTATTTTTGTGAAATTAGTTATTGTAATGAATAATAATAAATTAATCTTTGGCTACAATAAATGTAATGTATGTACAAAGATTAAGGAAGAAGGAATTAAGTACAAATAATGGTTCAAATCTAAATTCTTGGAAACGAGGTCAACTTTACGGTGTCGTAACATTTGAAGATTAATCTTTATCTACTACTCATCGACCTTTGATTATGATAATCGATGGAACTCTTATCAAACCACCATTGACTATAAAATTATATGAAAATCTAGTTCATGTTGTAAGAATTTTTAGTTCGGTTTCCTTAGCAATATTAAACAAACTTGATTTCTCTGCATTTAACCCTTGCAATGGTTGGTAGAGCATTTATTTATGTGATGAGCACCAATATTTGTTTTCAAGCCCTGGTTGTTTGTCTATACTTGTATTGAGTTCTATACGTTATACGGTTGCCGTAGTGCAAGCCTAGTTTGGAAAACATTTATTATATATCTGATAAACATTGGAATGGCGGTGTGGATTCTGGTATGGTTTTCTAGACCTGAACTTGGTTTTGCAGCGGTGTATCCTTGTCATTCTTTATACAGATTGAAAAGGGGGGACTGATGTTGGATTTGATTTTGGGTTGGGAGAGTAGTGCCAGAATCGACAACTGTGTTTAGGTAATCACATGCATGTGTCCTGCCGTTGTGTTTATAGTTTGTTATAATAATGTACACTGGTACTTATACATTTTTTTCTATTTTTGTAACATAGTATCCAAGTGTGGTTATGAGTAATCATGCTCTCTTAAAAAATCTCTTCGGTGGTATCGTGTGAGGTGGGTCGTTGCGTTCCCTAAAAAATGGTTGAGCTAAGCGATGGCTGGTTCATGCGACATGCTCGTGAATGAGTCTGCTCTTGCTTCATTGGGTACTATTAATCGTTGTACTTAACTTTAATCGTTCATTATTATTTTTTTGCCTAAACAGTAGGACACGGCATTCCTAAACTTTGTTAAACCAGTTTTTTATATTTTTTTTATTTTATAGCCATAGTTTTTATATTATTTGTAATGGAAAATGACTTTATGAGTTACTTCATATGGAAGTCATTTTTCAATTTGACGACTCTGTATATAATACAGGGAGAAAAAAACAGTCCTTGCTGAGTTTCTTGCCGGTTCTTCTCAGTACAAGGTCTCCCGCCGTAGATTTGCGAACCGATGGTGTAGCTTTTCGACATTCACAAGTGCTTGTAACAGCCTAGACTGAATAAACGATATTGAATTTTGTTTTTTTTTGAATTTTGGTTGGGACCAAATAGTTGACATGGGTTGTCTAGAATTTATTACACGTCGCATTACATTTGTGATTGGTATTAAAAAAAATAACCCTTATCAACAAGCATTGGTGATTCAGTGATAGAAAGCTGGTCTGCTACACGCGCGCGTCACGAGTTCGACTCCCAGCCGAGGGAGGACTTTTTTTTGAAGTGTTTTTTTTGAGTGACTTCTTTTCGGTCGGGGTGTAAATGGAAATATCCTATGGAAATGATGAAACGGAAATGCGTCACGAGCGTCACACGATTATTCTTGACGAGCGTGACAGTTGGAGGGTAACTCGGCGAAGGCAAACCCAGAAAAACTGATATATCTTTTAATGTAACTAGCATAGTTTGTTTGATTCCATGGATACACCGCAATCATATTTTAGCATTATGTGGGTCTTGTTTGTCTTGCGAATATCATAGTAAGTAGGTGGTAGCTCGCTCGTTCACAGACTATTATTTAACTAAAGTTCCCAACACTACACCCCTTATTAATAAACGAGGAATAAGCTTAGACTAGTTACGCGTGTTTTCTTCATAGCATTGAAATGCCCATTTGTCATTCAATGAAAACAGAGACAAAAGATGGAGTAACTTATCCAAGCATCCCATAGAGTAACTTAAGCTTAGTTTTTTGTTAAGGGGGTACTTGTTTACGAAATAACAAAGTTCGTTGATTTAATTATTACAATTCGCTTATGAAAGTAAGCAGCACTGTATTTTTATATTTTACGCCCATAGGCCATCCCCCTGATTTTACCACAAATTAAATTTGCTAATTATTTGACTGAGGTACTGAAGTCAGAAGAAGCGATGAAAATCGAATTCAGACAGTAGGGTGGCATTGGGGAATGTGGTTTCTTTTATTGCTGACAATAAGTAAGTCTAAATCAAATACACACATCAAAAGTGTCTAGGGATCAACATATATTTTTGCAATAACTTTTCTCCTGATTGATATTAATTAAAATTTTCTTTAAGGATTCATCAAATAAAGTGTTTTCGTTTGTCACAGTAACGATAAACCAAGTCACCTTTGCATTAATAAAGAAATTTGCCATTTTCCTAATAAAGGGATTTTTGACATTTGAACCACTAACACAAAAGTTCGAAAAAAAGACTGAAATAACAGTTTTCTCTAAAATTTTATTGGGTAACTTAAACAATTAATAATCCGTATTTCTACCGCGAACACTAACAACACAAGAACATCGGTTTGGCATACTCAAAATGAGTTCATCCAAATCACGCTTTGGAATGGCCGCCCATGTTCGTTGCAACAACAAAAAAAGGTCTTCTTGCGACTGGATACCCTCCATATTCGGCAGAGCTCTTCTCTGTAGCATATCCCATGCATGCTCAATCGGGTTCAAGTCTGGCGACTGAGCAGGCCAGGGCAGGACATTGATGTTAGCTGCGGCGAGAGCCTGTCTTACAACTCTTGCGGTGTGCGGTCGTGCATTATCATGCATTAACTGAAATAAGGGACCGATTTGCACTTGTAGAGGAACGATGACGTCTGATACAATCGTCTCAGCATAAATTTGAGCGTTGAGGTTGCCTCTGATCCAAATCAACTCAGTTCTTCCGCCGATCCAAATACCCGCCCATACCATGATGGTTCCACCACTATAAGGATGGACTTCCTGGCAGGATTTTAATCGCTGTTGGCGTCCAGGGGTTCTCCAGTGTCGTATACGTCTTGTATCCGGTCTCATACCAAAACGAGACTCATCAGAAAAGCACACGAAACGCCATTGTTCTTCTGCCCAATTTCTGTGTTCAAGAGCCCATTGATATCGAATCCTACGATTGTGCATTGCTATAGGTGGTACCCGTAGCGGTCTTCGGGAATGAAGGTTCACTTCATGCAAGCGGTTTCTGACTGTTTGGTCGCTAATTAAGTTCCCTGAAGAGTGATGAAGCCTCACGGCTAACATCATGGCGGTTATTGTTGGAGCTCTTCGAGTTAAGATTTGAATGTATCGGTCTTGTCTCCGTGTGGTGCAGCGATACCGTCCTCCATGGCGCTCAGCCACGGTACCAGTGCTTCGGTATCGTGTCCAAAGTCGACTGATAACACTCTGACTTGTATTCAGAGCTAAAGCCACAGTACGTTGCCGGGAACCAGCTTCTATCATTCCCACGGCTCTGAGCATTTCTTCCCTGCTTAAATGACGTCGCCGCTCCATAATAACGTTGGTTTTAATCAGTAGTAGGGAAACAGTAGCACTAATAATGTCTTCAATGCGTTGTATGTTTTTATAGGGAAAATATTGACAGCTGATTTTCTTCATTTACTCGAATTTGATTCACAGTTCCTGATTCAAATTATGAAATGCACCAAAAAGGATCCATATAAATTTATAAAATCATAAATTTATTACAAAGCCACATCTCAATCTCAAGAAATCCGCATAAAAATGCTTGATCCCTAGACACTTTTGATGTGTGTAGTTTATTACGATATCACATTTGTTTTACACCAAACCCACCCTTTCCTTCTATTAAGTATTTCACAGCTGTACCAGAAGGAAGCATGCCCTCTTCCATATCATTGATATTATATCTTAATTTTCATCTCATTAAATTTTTAATAATAAAATTAAGTATACTCACAAATAAGACGAGGACCATAGTGATGACGGGTATACTTAGAGCGGCCAAAGCAGCATACCTCCATGGCAGCACTGATCCAAGGAGGTATGCCATGAACATCCCAGTAGATGTAAATCCGTTCGTGAGTGTCGTCAAGAAGCCACGAACCGACGGTTCACTGAAATTGAATTCATGAAAAAAACGTCAGACACAAAGATCAGAAACATGATGGTACAATACTTAGATTACAGAACAAAAGGCAGATGTTGCGCACGGAACACGAAAAGCGTAGACAAAAGCTAATATCAATTTTCGTCAAAATAGAAACTCTTAAAACGCACCGTGTTGTGAATACGTTCCGTGCATATTAAGTTTTTTATCAAAACTGTGTCGCCTTGTTCAAACATTGTAAAAACTGTTATTAGATACAAAAAAAGAGACAATACTTTTGACTTCGTATTTGCATTGGTGCAACACATATATAGTACATAATCTACACATATAATCTGAGTAGCAATAACCTCAATCGAAGTAAAGATCTTAAGCTTCAATTGTATGTTTGGAATTTAGCTCTTCTTTATTTGCTTAGGATGTGTTGTTTACAGTTAGATATAAAACAGGTGGTTTTCTGATAAAATTTAATTGCCATAACAGTCATCCTTAATATCAGGTAGGGGTCGGGTGCTGTGTAATTAATATCAAAGCACTCTATAGAAACGCCTGAAGATAAATTAATAGCAATACTTACTACGTACTTTGCTTACAAAATAAGAGCAGGCGTTTGTAAAGGTAGTACCTTTCCTACTAGGACCGGGTTTGGAGGTCTTTAGGCCCTGGGGCAAAGAAGGGGCAGAGGCCCCTAATAATGAATATGCATGATTATTCTTTATATTTTAATTTCATAGTTTACATTCCCTGCATATACCTAGTGTCTAAATATAAAAATATTCAATGTCGAAAAAATAATTAAATGTTTCTTAAAAAAATGGCTAAGTGCGAGTCGGACTCGTGCACGCATTGTTTGTTCCGTACCATTATACCATAAACTTCTTATGGATTTACCTCTAATCTATAAGCTAAGAGCTACTTTCCATATTTTTTTTTTCAAATTTATACGCAGTAGGTCAATTTTCATCTTAAATAATTGTTAAACTATTATTATTACATTAGAAAAAAAATGCTTAAACCTTCACATTCGGTCCTTTCATTTGATATATAATATGGTACAGTTAGCTAAATTTTCATTTTTAATTTGAAACTCACCCCCCAAAAGTATTCCTTACCCTATCAGAATATACATATTTATTTTATTCATCCATACAAAGTGCAGTACAATATTAACAGGAACCAACGGCTTGATATTCCTGAATTCTGCAAAATGAAGGAGCTCACGATGCCAAAACTTTGACGACTCATACTTTGGTCACTTTTACTTTGACTGGCCATTCTTCTGAACGGTGATTGGTGTAAATAGGTTTGTTCTTTTATATATCTTACCTCACTTCACCCACGTATGTGATCGCAGGTGCTTCCATAATCCCAGTGCCGATGCCGAGCAACGCGTTTCCAATGAACAACGATGGAACGTCCCAAGCATAGTATATCAGCAGCCACGCTATAACATGCGGTATGTTCACCAGGAATAAAGACTTCTTTCGCCCGAAGTAGTCCATAAGAGGCCCGGAGAATATGCTGCCCAGAGGTTGGCAGAGGAACGCTATGGAACCTGTAACAAAGTAGTGAGAATAATCAGAAATGGTTTTCTTAATTTTGTTAAAGTTATTAAAGGCTATGTGATATAGGTATCTTCCATTTTTGATTCGAGGCGGGCCTCTAACGCTTATCCACTTATCGTACCATAGTCTAACTGTCATGCTTTTCACAGATTAAGAAAAAAAATGTGCCATTATATTTCATAGGTATTGCCATGGTTTTTCCCATAGGTAATTATTTTGTTGTGCTTAATATTCGCCTATTTGATAGGCAATCACATTTCTTCTGTACTTATCTTATTTTCATTGTGTTTATTAAAAGCAATCCTCTTAACAATGCAACTGCGGTATAGCTTAGGTTTTTCTTATGGACATTATCATTTAAAGAGAAAATGCCATACTCCCCACGTTGGCGCAGGCATCATTATCAACCTATTAATGTCCCCACTGCTGGGGCACAGACCTTTCCTATAGATGGAATAGGGAATTGCGAATTGTTGAGTACTAACGACTGTAGATTAACGGCCAGTTTCAATAATCAACCTGTAATAAAGTAAATGGTAAGGACAATCTGGTTCCGCTACTTAAGCAACAGTTGTTATTTAGCTGTGTTGCCAAGAAAATTTCATTTTTAAGATATTATAACTGTTACATTTGAATGAGTTTTACTGTCTAATTTGTTAGTTCCACCATTAGTTGTACTCGTAGTAACAGCGATACATTATTTCATTGTCCTTATTGCATTGTAATATTAATTAAAGTAATAGCTTTGTAGCCGACTTAACCTTTAAGATTAAGAAAAAAAAACTATTGCTATGAAATTGAACCAGATTATCCTTACCTTTAAGTTAGTTTATTGTCACTGGCCAGTGTGTGTTGCCAGTAATGACGTACGGAAGCGAGACGTGGCATTTTACTGCGGGTCTCATAAGAAGGCTCAAGGTCACAGAGCGAGCAATGAAGAGATCTATGCTCGGTGTTTCCCTACGCAATAGAATCAGAAATGAGGAAATCCGTAGGAGAACCAAAGTAACCGATATCGCTGGAACGATTGCTCTGCTGAAGTGGCAGTGGGCAGGACACGTAGCAAGAAGAACCGATGGCCTTTGGGGCGGAAAGGTTCTAGAATGGCGACCAAGCACCGGATGACGCTCAGCGGTCAGGCCCCCTACAAGGTGGACCGACGATTTTGTGAAGGTCGCGGGAAGACGATGGATGCGAGTGGCGCAGGACCGATCGGTGTGAAGACCCTTGGGGCATGCCTATGCTCAGCAATGGGCGTTGTACGGCTGACATGATTGTAACTGGCCGATAAACTGAACCAACGACTTAACAAGCCTCCCGAAGCAAGGAGTAAATAGATAGTAACGCATTGACAAATATAGTGCGATAGAGACAACAGTAATTAACACTGAAAATTATATATAAAAAATGCAAAAATTGCATATAAAAATTGCAAAATTTGAGGCGTCTAACCTCAAATTTCCTATTCGAAAATTAGATATATGTAAAAGAAATTTTACACAAAGAATAATAAATAGTTATACTATGCCTCTATGTTTCGATTTTTTGTAAGTGCTTATTAAATGTCCACACAAGAAATCTTTAGTGGTGATAAAAAAATATTTATTTTTGGCCTTTTCGAGGGCTTTCAGTTTCTTTGAAACACAAGTTATCAACAAGCAAGAAAAACATAGGAGCATACAATGAGTAAAATTATATTTTATGTATGTAAATCAATGGGGGAGGCCTATGTCCAGCAGTGGACGGAGAAAGGCTGATGGATGGATGGATGGATGGATGTAAATCAATTCTTTAGTGATAAAAATCAATAAGGAATCAGTCGAGAACGTTTGTATGGAAATAACATTGCCTGTCTCCCCTCTTAACGGCTTCTCCGATTCGTATCCGTAAGACTAGCGAGAGGCTAGATGTGAGGTCCGTTTGTTGGTGTGCCCCGTAAAGGCTTTTTTTACGCAATCAAAAACCTTATTAACAAAGGTTGGCCTGTAAATAGGGTGTTTGAATGCTTAAAAAAAGGTAAAGATTGCTAATAAATAGCATAAAAAATTATGTAGTTAGCAAACTTTAATTTAAAGAAAAGTTTACTAGAAAAAAAAATCCCCGCGGACCAGGCAGCGGACGGGACCCGAACCCGCATCCTTCGCTATCCGGGCGAATGCACTGACCATTATGCTACCACGGCCCTATTAGCCGCGTCGAAATTTTCCTAGCCTTAAGCTGCAAGGCAGCGCCATCTCTTCGCATTATAGGTAACCCACAATGTCAAATGAATACTTTTTCAAGTATTAAACATTTGAAAGAAGAAATAGCAATTATAGTTATGATTTTATTTATTTTTTATGCATTTAACTGCTAGATGTTTAAATCTAAAGAAAAGTTTACTAGAAAAAAAAGAAAAAAGTTTACTAGAAAAAAAACGTCCCGTCCGCTGCCTGGTCCGCGTGGATTTTTTTCTAGTAAACTTTTCTTTAGATTTAAACATCTAGCAGTTAAATGCTTAAAAAAAAAACAAAACTTTAATTTGTTATAATAACTTCTGATAATATCATAATTGAAAGTAATCCACTACATAAGGCGCTAAAATGAAAGCCTAGTGGACGGAAACAAAATATCGACTATAGGTTTAAAGCTTGTAATAAATATCGCACAGTTTGTAAGGTTTCATAGCGGAAGTAATTCGACACTTCTGTGTTTTGTGCGTGTCGAGTCGAGTCGACAATATTCGGCCGACGAGTAATCCGCATTGTCGTAGACATGAAAGAAGTATGTGAATGCGACGCGCGAGTCAGTTTACTCGCGTACAATGACACTTCAGCCGTCTAGCTTGATAACTGCGAATCTTGTTGTATGAAACAACATAAAATAAATCCTTTCTTCGTCCGAAGTTCTAAGAACTAGTATAATTGTCTTCCATCAGTGTCAAAAGACACAGGGAGACACCAAATTAGCATTCAGACACAAAAATCACAAAAATCTAAAAATTGTAAAGACTGCTTAGAAAATTCAAGTTATGCCAGCCGTTAATGACATAATATTACCGAGTGAAGGCCTAAAACCCGTTCTTCCCGGCCTTCAAGTTGACCCTCACAATGAACCGCGTGTTATCTATTCGTCTGTCAAGAGTATCGTTTACGAGTTTCCGACTTTGTTGACATCATGCGGCTGATGGTCGATAGAGTTACCTACTGCTGAAAAATGACACCCGACAACAAATTGTTTCGCAAATAATTAATACTTATTTAATAACTTATTTAAAGATATAAAAAAAGGTAGGAAAGTCAAAACTGTACATTGAATATTTTTTTAAAAGAATACTTGGGGTGTGATCTATAATGGATACCGAAACTCAAAATATAGTTTTTAGATTTTTTGTCTGTATGTCCGGAATAAACTCAAAAAGTACTGCATGGATTTACTTCAAATTTGGCACAAATATTATTAAGAAGTCGGGTCAACATAATATAGGCTACATATTATCACGAATCTCTACCCCTAAGGGGGTTTGAAATTTGTATGAAAGTCCTATGTTTTTGAAGTAAGATACTTGTAATTCAACATGTATGCTCTATAGATGGCGTAGAGGTGTACTAATAATGTATCTTTAGAAATAAACCCCCTTTTGGGGTTAAAAACTATATGCAAATAACTAACTCCACGCGTACGAAGTCGCGGGCGGCCGCTAGTTACTAAATAAAAACGTTTAAAATTACTTAATATTTTACTACTTTTGACCATGCCACGTAGTTGGCGCAATCAGTGACATTCGATATTAAAAGAGACTTGGCAACTCAAGTTACAGAACAATCTGTAATCTGAGTTTGGCGAGAACTGGCGATGAATTCGTTCTTTAGCTGTTTAAGGTCCGTATTACAGAATGACAACTAAGTGTTGATCTTTACTTGAGTACAGTTAGAAAAGGATATCGCTATGTGCTTTACATAGCGACATCCCTTTCTAACTACGCTCAAGACTAGATCAATCTCTGAGAATCTTTCTTGGCCTAAGACGCAATATTGGAGAAGAATGTCTCAAATGTGGTTGCAACGTAAACAGTAGAATGGTACAACACGTGAGTTAATGAAGCATTAGACAACATAATTACAACTAATAATTAATCTTCACTGAAAATTGTAGTCAATATGTAGATAAAAAAAACTGGATAAAATAATAATTAAAACGATAGTAACAATTTGTAAGATAATTATGAAACTAACAGTTGAAGCATAATTAAAGCCTTTTACAAACAAAATGTGCACCTTATCATCACACTTCGAAACAATGATATTAAATGGGTTAATTTTATACACACAACACGTGTTTTTGTTATTATAGTAAATAGTTGGTAGGAGTAATTAGTATCTTTATTGACATAAACAAGGCACAACTAATTTTCCTTTCCCTGGAATATCCACACCTAATACTGAGCAAGAGGATTCCATTTGCGAATAGGTATAGTTAATGACACTCCAGACATCCTCACCTTACTTTAAAAAAAATAATGTTATAATTTTTTATGCTAGCCACGAGAGCACGGTGACAGAGCCTTCAAAAGGTACCCTATCTCCTCTCAATTTGCGCATTCATTTTCTTCATAAATTCAAAATCCGTAATATTTCGTACTGTGACCTGACCAATAAGGGTAAGGTTTTGTAAGGGTTTTTCCCGTAATGAGATCTCGGATTCGAGTGAAAACTAGCTGTGTCTCTCCTTAACTTTTTTTAGTAAGATTTTGAGTCTGTCCTTTGATACGTCTTAACTACGGTCTTACTATAGTGGCTCTTGCGTTTACAGAAGACGATTGTGTGTGTCGATATTCCTTTTGATATATAAACAGGCTGACGTGAGAGTGATGTTGATAGGAGATTCTACTATATTCCTTCTTCCAAGCATACTAATATAAGAAACGCCACAATTTTATGGTCAAACATAAATATCAAAAATCCACAAATACAAATGTGTGGCTGCTATGGCTAAACGGATTTGGATTTAATTTATTATTTTAATTGTGTATTAGGTGGACTGACACATAGAATACTTTTTATATTAGAAGAATGTCAGTTGCCCGTGGGATTCCCAAAAAACTAACTAAAACGCGGACGAAATCACGGGTGGAAGTTAGTATAGATTGTAAAATGAATGCAAGTGTTGGAGCTTAATGCAACCATTCATTATGATCAAAATCAGTTTGTAATACACAAGGTTTCACAGTCGATATTGTTTTGCTCCCAAAATATGTAGCAGAAGAACTTGGTGCCGTGGAAATCAGAAAAAAATGGTATCGACCTACCTGCATGTTTCTTAAAACAGTTTGGCGTAGTTAAAACCAGCAGTTAAGATAAAGTTTCTGTATTAATTTTTTTAGCATTTAACTACTAGAAGTATTAATCTATTGGAAATCTTACTACAAAAATTTCACGTGGGCCAGGAAGCAGGCAGTACTCGTAGAACCCGCACCGTCTGCTATCCGGGCGGACGCACTGGCCAATTATTATGCTACCGCGATTTTATTGGCCGTGTTGAATTTCTTCTAGTATTTTTTTAAGCATTTAACTGCTATGCCTGGTCGGCGTGGAATTTTTTTAGTAAAATTTTTTTAGATATAAAATTTTTTCTTCAATTTTTACCGAACCATAACGCACGTTCCATCAGCAAAGAACAGAAGAGCCCCTTAAATATATACTGAAGATTCTGACAATAAAGGTTCTTTTACAAAACTTACCAAACCACGAAGCCTGCTCCATGGTGATGGAGAGCCCCTTTGGCGCGTCCATTACTGCTGGCAGCACCATTGTCACGAAGTTTATGGACATGCCCAGCCCGACCAGCAGAAAGTTCAGGGCGAGACATGCGTACACCTAGCAACAAAGAAAGGTTGGATAAGTAATTATTGGAACGAATTGGACGGTGTTGCCGACCTCTTTTATAGATTTAGTTTTTATGGTTTTTTGAAGTGTTTTTAAAGTATTGACATTTTTATGATTTTTGCTTTAAAAATTGTTATTGTGTGTCATAGTCTTTGCTTGTCATCAGCTTAAATATTGTTTGTGTTTTACCATAAAATCGTGTTAATAAACCCATTGCGTCCTAAATCCTAGCCTTCATATTCCATTCCCACTAGCTCTCCGCTTCAGACGGTATGGCAGATGGAGGCTAGGTGAAAAATTCCGTTACAACCTAGCGTGGCAGCTCGCCAGCTAGCTGAGTGGATCTAAGAGCCCGCGCTGTGTTAAGCATGGAGCGGACGTCGACTCCGCGTATTTGTTTCATGTTATTTCATAGAGCTGCGCTGCGTGAGGCGGGTCTCCCGCGCAACTGGTCTCTATGATATGGCATAAAAACTGCACGCGGAGCGGACGCCTGCTTCGTGACCTATTTAACGCAGCAGATTCTTATACCTACCACGCGGCCACAGTGCGGATTGGTGGGTAGGATACAGTTTTTTATGGAATAAAGAGATATTGAGATGGACCGCACTAGGTTTGATCCACACTGGACCCAATCCGAAGTGGGCCCAATCCATACCGGGCTCAACCCGCACTGGGCTGAATCCACACTTGGCCGAATTCACACTGGGCCCAATCCGCACTGGGCCCAATCCGCACTGTGCCCAATCCATTACATTCACGCAAATAGTTTTTTCGTTACTGGGGTAAATAATTATTTATTATACACAGAAAAGGCTAGAGGAAAAAGTTTTAAAAACCCCTGTTTCTCGCGTTCCTATGGTCTGTCTGGTCTGATCTATTAGTGGAAGGAGGGAGACCTATTTCTGTCTGTCCTACTATGTGCCTATGTTGTTTTTAAGAAACAATATTTTTTCTAACAAGTAATAAATTTTCGTTTATGTATTGTGATGAGACCGTCATTATACCAAATTCTTTAAAATTATCTCATAAGGATGATTTAACTTCAAGATTATAAATTGATCGAACAGCTCTCTCTCTGTGTGTGGTTTAACAAAGATGTTTTCACGAGTCGATGCATATTTGTAACTTTGAGTAGAATCGTCATAAAAATAAGTTCATACTAACAGACTGTGGGGAACCCACTACATATTTATTTATATGTGTTGTTAATAAATATGTAGTGGGTTCCCCACATCGGTACACGGAAGCCACACTAAAACAAACAAACAACCTTAATACATAATAATAAGACATCCATTTCCAAAGGTTATAAAAAATGTTCCACGAATAATTAATGATATTCCATTAAATCGTTATAAAGTGTTAATTAAAGCTCTTATTTACGCATTGCGTTATTATGAGGGGTTTTTTCCATTCTAATTTATTGCTTAACATTTTTGGGCAACATGCGTATTTTACGACGTTTTACGACAATTCTCCGAATAATTAATAACCAAAAATAATCATATTTTTTTAAGCATGTAACTGCTCGATGTTTAAATGTTAAGAAAATATTACTAGAAAAAATCCACATGGACCACAGCAGACGGGACTCGAACCCGCACCCTTCGCTATCCGGGCTAATACACTGAACATTAGGGTCGCGGTTGTTTCTTTCAGAATTGTTCTTTTTTCAAAAAAAATGTTTTCTTTGGAAAAAGTAATGTTTTATTATTATAGGTTATAAAGCTTTAAAAAAAGTACATTCTTCAAATAGGGCTCTGTTAGCTGTGTTCATACTTGAAACAAACATAAACCGAATAAGGATATGAGGATTTTCCCGTACTTCGTGAATGTAACTGTAATTTTCAGTCAAAGGTAGGTTTTAAAATAGACAGAAAACTTTAAGTAATATAAACCTATGAGTTAAGTTTTAAAGGAACCTTCCTTTATAGCTTAAAATTCTGTGAACAAAAACATGCTCTCGAAAAAAAACACGTTCTTTCCTGTTTTACTTTTCAAAGTTTTTTTCACGATAGAAAAAACTGTATATTGCATCTGTATCTCAGGGTGAAAATTATACCAAAGAGAACTCACACATACGCTGACTCAGAAATCAGAAATCAATAGGTATATCTTTATTCAAATTGGATGTACAACTCTTTTGAATCGTTAAAAAGGTTTTTTTCCCTACCACTCATTTTGGATACATTTTTTTACGCTTCTACAATAAAGTCCCTAGCAATATCCAAAAATGAAGAGTCAATCAATTTAAAACATCTATTAAAAGAGTTCTTATTAATAAAGCCTATTATAAGGTGTCTCATTATATTTTAAACAAAAATGCATGGGTTTAAACAGTTCCAAACGGTCCGGCAGGCTTTTTCTATAATTATGATGAAGATGATATGATTTTGTATTGACACCGTAAGAATATAATATTTTGTAAATATTGTTACATAATACATATATTTTTTGGCCAGTTTTTCTCCACACCTGAAAAAAGTCCTTAACTGGTGGAGGAAAAAGAAATGGACGATTTAAAAGAGTTGTATTGTGCTTCCAATTTGACAAAGATTTTTTAAGATTTGACTTTTAGGTTTTTTGTTCTTGCGTTTAGAAGCTTGACCTAAAGACGCGAGTAAAAGTATAAGAAATTTTATTAAGTACATTACAAAGGAAGACTCTTCATTATAAAACCGACATGCTGTGTCAGCTGTTGTGAGAACTAAATAATAGCTTAATACGTACTTTTACAAGTAGTCCATTTAGTAAAGAAGTCTAATTATTTGTCATTGTAATGTCGCTAATCGAATAACAATCAATTCCGCTACGACGGAAGGCCATCATGTGGAAATTTGATACTTCGTTACATTGTTCTAAGGGTCCTAATTGTCATGCGGTTTCACTTGCGGTGATCGGGCTTGTTCATAGAAGTATATTTATTTAACACTTCATCTAATAAGATGGTTATCTGTAGACGATATGAAAAACCACACTATACCATATCTCAATAAAAAAATTACCGAAATAAATTAATGAGTCTGGTGTTACACCTATTTAATTAGTTTTTCTAAACTTGCCCGCTTTAACTTCAGTTTTTTGAGAATCCCACAGGAACCCAAAATTTTTGCGGAATTAAAACTATCTTATGGGTCAATCCAGGTCATAAACTATATGCGTAACAAATTTCATCCAAATCCATTTAGTAGTTTTTGTGTGATTGAGTAACAAACATACAAACTTTCACATTTATAGTTTTAGTAGGATATCTTGCATCGCGTTGAAGTTGATAAATATTGCTAATATTATTGTGAACATGTGTTTGTAAAGATTATTTTAGTTTTTGTATTATAAAAGTACAGACTCTTTATGCAGAACCTTTTTTTATGTTGATTTGTATTTTTGGTTTTCTGTTTAATATAATAATGTTACTGCGCGTTTTCATACTTGAGAACAATAAATAATATATAAATTCTGGGACTATGGTAAATTATTTGTATTTTTAGGGATTCTTCATAACCACACCGTTACCATCACTGTCTCATAATAGTATGATAGAGTAGTGTGTGTAAAGGTTTGATTTTTGTAATATTATTTCAGTGTTTACTTAAGTTTTAAAAGGATAACTCGTCCTGGCCTTACATTGAATTTATGAAAATAACATTCTGTACGTAACTCAACTTTGGCAGGTTTCTCATTCAGGTCATTATACCATTGATTGAAATTGATTATCGAGTTGAGTCTATTCTGGAGAGTTTGGGTGGTCGTGGTTCAAACAGCCAGAGATCAAATTACTCAAACAAGTGGAACAAAAAAATAAAATAAAAAAACACGACGCCGTAAAAAAAATGACTCGTTTTACCGAGAAACCTGTTTATTAATGCTATTTTATTTGTATTTATTTGGTATGGTCTCATTAAAAGCTTATAAATGATACCTATGTTGTAATAATAAGAAGACTTTTTTTAACAGTTTAATAATTGGCAGTTTTGACATTGCTGTTCATTTCAATTTTAGAAGTTTAGGTATGCTTTGTGATCCGGGATGGTGAAAGGATTCAAACGATACCACACACATCTTAATCGGTTCAGGCGATACATGAATCCTGAAAACATTACATCTTTTTTGGGACAGTCGTTTAAAAAGATAAATTTACATTAAACAAAGTTTTGAGTTATTTATAACATTTTTTTTGTTATATTTTACATAAAAATATTGACTACATAACTATAGTAACTATTAGAAAATCTGGGTTTTGTTAAAATAGTTTTGTTGTTATAACAAAACAGTTATGTAAAATTTACAAAACTGTTTTGTAATTGGTTACAAAATTATTGCTTGAGTATAGCATCACTATACTGTAATTTTAACCAAACTATTTTGCTAACTGCAACATAATTTTCTGATGAATTATAGCTGTATATTATTATCTTACTTTCAAAAGTTGTTTGTTATATAATATAATACCTAGGGGCTTATGAATTCACAAATTATTTTCTAGTACAAATTTTATAAATGATATAAATGTATACATAAAACAATCTCTATAGCGCGATTCAGCGGATCTGCCGAACATTTAATTAAACACGTACTTGCAATCTGTAACCGAACTTTTTGGTTAACAGTTATATCACTTTGCAGTTAATAGCGGTTTTTGTGCTTGCTAATAAATAGAAAAAAATAGTTAGGCCTAGACTCTATGTAAATAATCACCTCAAGTGTGTTTGATTATAACCAAACATTGTTATGTTACAGATTACCGAAATCGAATTTGACAGTTTATAACAAGTTTAGTAGTTTTTAACTAAACTCGATTAAAGGAAATGATAATGTAAAATGCAACAGAACAGTTGGTCTATGAGTGACTGAAATTTATTTATTAGTTAACAAAGTTTGGCTATTCGTCGGTTAACTCAACTAGATTTGTAAATTACTTTTTTCAGTGCATCAAAATGACTTTGAGCTTTATTCTGCTTTGCATACAATTCACAATCTGTTGAGCTTTGACATTAGTTTCAACTTAAATATGGTCTTTGTATCTTCATTGCACCTAAGGGACAGGTTGTTGTTTACTTTGTTTATCAATATTATTTACTTGGCGACAATTCATTATCATCCTATCCTCGAGTATGTTTTTTTATTTAAGACTGCTTTATTACCCACTGATTGATAGTTGATTGTTGCTAATTCATCGGTCACTATTATTGCAAATAAATCCAGAACATATGTCTTCTCAAGTAATTAATTATGACTAACCTATGAAAGGGCAACGTTTGTCCAATTGACGAACATTCATCAACTGATCAATCGTTCGATTGTAAATAAGGCCGAAATTTATCGACGATGTCTTTGACCTATTAAAATTTATTGGGACATTCGTCTTGTCGACATCAAAACAGTTCCTGAAAATCACGAGCTACCTTTGTTCTTGATTGGTTTGATGAACAACATTCTTGCTATGAGGGCAATGGGTTATAAGAAAAAAACTGATAGAACAGTAAGATTTAGGGCATAAGTTTGGAAGTTCAATCTCTAGATTTCTTTTTAGATATTTATGATTCGATGCGCATCGATACCAGATAAATCGCATCCGATGCACGCATCGATGTCAAGTGAATGTCAGTCTAGCTAATATCGTATTATCACAGGATGCGATACGAATTACGACAGATGAGTGTTTTTTGTGTGTATTTTCGATTAACTGATAAACCGTAATTTTAGCTCTGGCGCCATGGTATATTTTTAAGTTTGTGGCACTATAGCTATTGTTACGTTGACAAAAACTTGATGGTATCGGCATCCAATAACGGTAACAAGTCGCATCGGATGCGCGCATCCAAACCCGGCATCTTTATCGCGCATCGTTACTCCAAAAAACCCTATCAGTAGCATCAAAAGTAACTATGCTAAGCAAATCTTAAAAAGGAGAACCATCTAATCAGAAGATGATAATAATCAAGTTATCTTTTTCAAAATACAGTTTTTTTTATTTAATAAAAGCTTCAAGTAACATCGAATCAAAGTAGGCACGCTTTCTCTTTATATAGATTAACGGCTTTACCTTTTTTATACCATTTTTATGGTGTCACTCCTACCAATTTTAAATACTAAAAAGCGCTCCAGCTTCGCCACAGTACATAAAACTCATGTAGTAATTTGATGTTCTTTTTTCGGAACTAAACTTCTTGTTGATATTGACATAAGTACAAAACCATCAAAAGATAATGTTATTGCACCGTGTTGCCTGTAAGACACAAACACAGATGTGTGCTACAATTCAAGTGGCCATCCATATTGCCCAACACGACTTTAATCTTCTTAAAGTTGTTTTTTAAGCTTTAAAGTGCTTGATTTTGATATCGGAAGAAAATCTCTGCCAGACAATGAAAGCAAGAATGAAAGACACTGGTAGTTATTCCTATTAGTAATTTTTACTTTGGAACACTGAAAAGACATCAGATCAATACATGTGATGTTGTTCAAAACCATTGTTGATTTAATTTAGGACCAGTTACTGTATCGTGTTCTCTACTGTGCTATAATGTATCAAATTGGAAACGTTATCAGTACCATTATTAACTTTTAATAAAATCCGGTCAAGGTTACGATGCTGACGGTTGTTCTTAAAGAATGTGCGGCTTTTTGAATCTTTCGACTTGATGACACTTACATTTCTTTAATACTAAGGTAGGTACTTAATTCTTCATAAGTAAAAAAATGGTGGCAGATAAACGTAATGGCCCGCTTGATAACAGGCCATAATAGCCTGGAGACATTTGCAACCTCTGAGTATTACAAGCATGCCACCCCATCGCCTACCCTGGAATTCTGGAGATTAGGGATGAACATTCGTCATCGAAAACACAAAACCACAAAAAGGAAGAGTTAATTCACTATAGTCTTCTCTAACGTGGCAGTTACTTCCCAGCGAACGAATCCGCTAAATCCTAATACACGAGTAAATAAGGCACAGAGAGACAAAGCTTCGTACAAATGCGCGTAGTGAGTGAACACTGGCGTGCCGGTCGCACACATCTTAAAAAGTGAGTAGTCGCGATACTTGTGGAAGATATGCAACATTAAAAATTGTCTTAGAAAAATTAGGTTTATTTTATACATAGTAAATTCAAGTTACCTTTGACTTTACAAATGAATTTTAACTCTTTAAACGAACTAGGTAGTGATCAGTACCCTTAGCACGAACCATTATCGAATTCGAATAGTTTGCGAGTCCGAAATGTCATGGTCAAATTTTGTATGAAAACTTGAACATTAGCGCCATAACGTACGTAACGAGAACTAAAAATCAGTAGACGTTTGACAATGACATTTCGTATTCGCAAACGATACGAATGCGATATTGGTTCGTGCTAAGGGTACAGAATATCAACAATATTATAGTACATCCAAAAAAACCAGGCAACCAAACCTGCAAAACCCATTATATTTTGTTTATCTTTTATTCAAATTTATCATATTAAAACCAACAGAAGTAGTTATAATTTTTATTTTTTAAGCTGCCTGATCCACGTGGATTTTTTGCTAGTTATATTTTCTTTTTTTAATAAAAAAAATAGAAAGAAAAAACCGACCAACACATGACACACGTGATGAAAAAAAAACATCCTCAGGTTTTATGTAGGGGAGCTAAACATTTTTTTTTTAATTTTATTCTGCCTTTTTGTAGGCTTTATTGATATACATATCTGCACAACATTATAGCTCTCTGGTGTTAACAGTCTCCAAGCAAAACCGGGTTTGGACAGACAGACTGACATGACGAAACTATAATATACAAATAAGTATACACCTAATCAAAACCTTAGGTATTGTATTGCATCGATGTATGGTCACTAATTATTTTTAAATAGACGCTAGAAATATCTTTTGAAGGATTAGAAATACAATGTGTGAAAATTTCACCAGTTACCTAATCGTATGATGAGATATAGCTTCATTGACTAACGCACGGGGTCATAATAATATTTACGACCTCTTAAATTTTACGAATTGCATGGTGGAGTGGTATTTATTTTATTTATTATCTTAGGACAGCTAACAGCTTATGAACATAAAAATAACAGCAAATAACATTAATTATTAGCTATTGGCAAGCTACCGCATATAGAAATCTGAAGAGTCAAGCTTAAAAAAATCAGTTTGCTAGAACAGTTTTGCTTGGAATATTAGTAGGGAGAGTAGCTCGATGGTGCAGGTGGTTAGCGCGTTCGGCTGCAATCGTTGAAGTTAAGCAACATTAAGCAACGCAGTGGTCAATCATTGGATGGGTGACCAAAAATCTTTTATCTCGAGTTCCTCCGTTCTTCGGAAGGTACGTTTAGCCGTTGTTCCAGTCTGCATCTACAGTCGTTAGCAACCGCCAATCCACATTGGGCCCGCATGGTGGGTCACGGCCCAACCTCCTTTTTCCATCCATAGGGAAGGCCTGTGCCCCAGCAGTGGGGACATTAGTAGGCTGATAATGATGATTTTAAATTAAACAAATAAGATCTTACCTGTGACGTAATCACTTTGGCGCGGGAGGGGCTGCTTCCGTTTCCGTTCGTCATTTTTTGTTAGTTTTGCACTTTAAAAAACACTTTTTAATTTTATTGCACTTTTATTTACACTGTTACGTTCCAAGTTTCAGTCACAGAATATCACACACACTTTCTTGAGAAATATCTACACAACGCACTCATTACCTCTTTCCTGTTCGTTTATCAAAGACAATGTAAATACACAGTTTATTACAAAATTTATGAACACTTATCTTTGTTATTGTAGGCAGGGTGCGCTTTATTACTGTTATTTTAAAGCCTTTATTTATAAGCTAAGTTGCATACTATGGAAACAAAGATAACTAAGATGCACTCCTCTCATAACTCTTGTTGGTTGATACAATTTAATTATGGTTGTCATAAATGGTTATCGAGAATTGTAATACATATACCTAGATGCTTAACAAACGACTATACATAAAAAAAAACTTATTAAAAAAAACAGCGGAAAAACAAAACTAGAAAGAGAGCCAAATAAATTTAATTTAACGTAAAATTAAAATACACCATTAATATTTGAATTTGTTTGTAGTATTTTTGAATTTAAAGGTTCATGCTTTTAAAAGATAGTTCCCTTATTAAATGACACGACATATATGGGGTTTAGGACATAATTTAAATAATGGGTTTAATTTTTATTTTATTTCCACCTAGAAAGAATGTTGTATGACATGTGAGCGTGAAAGGTTATTACGAATGCGTACTACTGAAAACAATGTGTTACTTATTCGTAATAACCTACTTGTCGTACGTGTATCCTAATAGTTATTTATGATATTAGTGCGGTAAGTGGTACAGGTAGACTACGGCTTACCATAGTCAAGAATTCGTAAATACCAATTCGGAGAAGGTGAGGTGAGAAGTGAAACACATGTTTGTAGCGGCAGAGGTGAGTTGAAGTGGGACAGATGTTTGTAGCGGCAGAGGTGAGGTTTAGTGGGACAGAGGTTTGTAGCGGCAGAGGTGAGGTGAGAAGTGAGACAGAGGTATGTAGCGACAGAGGTGAGGTGAGAAGTGAGACAGGTTTGTAGCGAGAGAGGTGAGGTGAGAAGTGAGACAGAGGTTTGTAGCGACAGAGGTGAGGTGAGAAGTGGGACAGAGGTTTGTAGCGACAGAGGTGAGGTGAGAAGTGAGACAGAGGTGTGTAGCGACAGAGGTGAGATGAGAAGTGACACAGAGGTTGTAGCGACAGAGGTTAGGTGAGAAGTGAGACAGAGGTTTGTAGCGACATAGATGAGGTGAGAAGTGAGACAGAGGTTTGTAGCGGCAGAGGTGAGGTGAAAAGTAAAACAGAGGTTTGTAGCGACAGAAGTGAGGTGAGAAGTGAGACAGAGGTTTTTTAACAGTCAGTCAGATCAGTTACTCTGTGATCATGGCGCTTGCAACAGTGCCAAAATATCGGAAACTCGCTAAAAACCTCTGTCTCATTTCTCACCTCACCTCCTCTGAATTGGTATTTACGAACTCTTGACTATGGTAAACCGTAGACTAGCTTACATTCGTTAATCAATTATTTATACGCAATTCGGTACCAATCCCGTAAATAACATAAATTACTATAATGTTAGTGACCATGAAAGTTTAAAACAATAAATAGGTAACTTTATATTTAAAAGTCGTATCGATTTGGAATGTCGAACGAATAGCACTTCACTTAAATTTTATATGCAAAAAGTCATAATGAGATTAACATTAATGATGACTACTAAAAGCTATTTCAAACACTGTGTATTAATAAACGACATTAATACCAAATAATTTTAATTTATGAAGTCATGAATTATGTAAATGATCAATTAATTGATTGACGATGATAATGATCCATAACTCATAAAAAATAATAATTTGTGTGCTAAAAAGTTTTTATATTTTGTGTTTTTCTTTCTTCTTGTTGTTATAAGTAGTTATAACAAATAGCTTTTAAATCGTCATAAGTTTCTAACCTATCTGATTACTACGTACCTATTTAGGAGAAGAAAGGGAGAAAATAGAGATATCAAAGAAAGGTTAAAATAACAAAAGACTTCTAGAAATAATACGCGAATGGCGAATTATAATTCGCCATCATAATTTAGTGGCCCGCCCTCGCTTCGCTTCGGTATAGATTATAGTTTTTGTTCTTATATAAGAATAGCCTATGAGACTCACTAATAAAGTGTCTTTGTATTGATAAAAGAATTTTCTAAATCGGTTCAGCAGATCCAAAGATTACCCCCTACAACTCTACAAACTTTACCTATAGGAGAATATATAAATATGCTTTTAAAAAAATGGCAAGCAACACTGGCAGTTTCGTTAGATGACATGCCTTTGATACATGACTTGATTTATAAAAAAAACTACTTAGAATTCATGTATTCGCAGGAGATTCTCTATTCGTATTCTTTATTTAATTTCAATCTGTCAACACAAATATCCAAGGAAGTCGAAAACTTTCCACTTAAGTTTTTCAAATTAAAATTGAAACAGGATCATGTTAAGGCCGCGTTGTTTCATTTATAGTTTAATTTCACTACAGTTACTAGTATTTTAACTGTTTTCTTACTGTTTACCTTTACACTAGGTACCTACTATTAACCAAATATCAGGAATATTCATTGAATTTTCAGAAAATTATAATTTTAACATATAATATGACATATCCGTTTTGATATCGATAAACACACCATACTGATTATAGGAGCACTGATTACTTTTTCTCTGAAATAGACGTTTTGAATGATGTATCTTATTAACTGTAATATAAAAACTAGTACAAATAAAAAATTACCATATTTCTTTATAATGTTGCAACATTATTACTATTGTCAAATCCCACAATAGTTAAAAATATTTTGAAAAAACGCGCATCTAATATAACTCGTAATATGGGGTTAACTATTGTTAAGAAAAAGTCAAATTGACAAATAGTCATACCATCAATGAAACCCCGGCCTTTAATGTCACATCATGTCACGTCAAATACATAGTAAATGAGTAAAATTTTGACAAATGGTTACTTTTTATGATGTATTTTAACTATAGTAACATTTAAGAGGGGAGGCGGTCAATGTTTTTTTCTATACACACGTTCTCGACTGATTGCTCCTTGATTTTTATCACTAAAGAATCGATTTTGATATATGAAAATAATTTTACTCATTCTATGCTCCTATGTCTTCCTTTTTTCGATAACTTGTGATTCAAAGAAAGTCAAATGCCAAAAAAGAAATTAAAAAAAAAATCACTAAAGAAGTCTAGTGTGAAGATTTAATAAGCATTTATAAAAAAAAACCTAGAGGCATAGTAAAACTACTTAAGATTGTATGGGTGAAATTTCATTTACATATATCTTATTTCGGGATTTTTTGTCGAGAGCCAAATCTCGAATTCTGAGGTTTTTATACACAATTTACAATTTAAAGATGTGAAACAACGGGCCCTAACTGTAGTCAAATTTAACTACGAATGAGAAAACGCGGCGTAAGCCTCATATATTTTTACTCAAATAAACAGTTGAAAGGCAGAGTGATATTTTATACTGGATTAAAAAATTCTTTATCAAAACATTATATTATCCTTTTCGAGTCTATATGCAGCACGGCCTATTTGAAACATCACCTAATTCAATTAATGAGTTGAGTTGAAAGACTATAAACTGGTATTACGAGTATTCGTAAAGGGCCACGATTTTTATTGGTTTTGTGGTGAAACCTCAAGTTAACAACTTCCGAGTTTTATTACATTTAAATGTATCAGCTAGACAGAATTCTAAACAAGATGTCGCAACTCACAAGTTTTAACTGTTTAAAACAAGGATGAATTCGGCCTTTACTAATTAGATAAAATAGTTAGTTAATTAGTTTGAATTACGACCGTACTATGACGTCGATTAAAGTTAATTATTGTAAATATTGCTAAGAAAGTGTCGGCTCATTATTTAATAGAACATAATGTGGCAGGTTTTTATGCGTCAGTTATACCCACTATTGAATATTTTTTGTAACAAGAATGTTTCTGTAATTATAATTTTATTATCTTTTAAGCACGTAACTGCTTCATGTTTAAATCTAAAGAAAATATAACTACAAAAAAATCCACGCGGACCAGGCAGCAGACCTCAAGCCGAGAATTGGTGGGTGCCTCTAGAGGTTGAGCTTAAGAAAATTTTTAAGTCACTCATCTGATGACCGGTCATTGCGATAGTTGCTTATTTTCGCAGATCGAACGCGCTGACTACTTGCGCCATCGAGCTCCCGATAGCGTAGCCAGGCGTTCGGATAAAGCTGGACATAGGCTTTTTGATTGCGTGTCCAGCCAACATTAACGGTGTCCGGCTTGTCCGGCCTTTGTCAGGTTTTTTAGATTTCGCAAATGAACGAACGCCGAGCGTGCGCCAGCGAGTAGACTGTCGGTTGCTTTTACATAAAATTTTTTGTCATACCTAATATTACTGAGCTACAAAATCCTCAATAATGTAGGGTGTCCGGCCTTTTCACCCAAATTTACGACCAAACCGGCTGGTTCGTCCGGCTATTAGGTTTGGCGATCTGGCGACTCTATTCTAGTACTATCCTGGATTTAATAAGATTATGTATCTTAATGAGTTTGTTATAAAGTTCGGAATCGATTGATGTAATTCACTTTATAGTAACCTGATATTTGCTGCTGTTATCCTTACAATCTACACAAGTCGTAAATTCTTGTATTTCATCGCAGTATGGAAATTTTATGCGTTTTAAATGGATATCGTTACGCCTCGTATACGCGTCTACGTTAAAGACGAAATTATTGACAAACTTATACCTCTTAAAGTTTATTCGCTGATATTCAATCAACTGCTTATGTCCGTGTGCACAAAACTTAGGAGCTTCCCAGTGCCGTATTTGACCTATTGGAGGACCTGGGCATATTAGGATAATGGGGCACCTATGTCTTCCGTTTGGTGATTTAACAGGAAGTAGGAACTTTCTATTTGATCTGAGGGGGCTCCTATCGATCGCGGGGCCCTGGGCACTTGCCCAAAGTGCCCACTGGAAAAGACGGGCCTGGAGCTTCCTAAAATCGTGGTATTTTGGTTTGTCATCATCATCATCATCAGCCTATTAATGTCGCCACTGCTGGGGCACAGGCCTTCCCTATGGATGGAGTAGGGAAATTGGGCCATGACCCACCACGCGGGCTCAGTACGGATTAGCGGGTGCTAACGACTGCAGATGGAGCCGGGACCAACGGCTTAACGTACCTTCCGAAGCACGGAGGAACTCGAGATAGAAGATTTTTGGTCACCCATCTAATGACCGACCACTGCGAAAATTGCTTAACAGCCGAACGCGCTTACCTCCCGCGCCATTGAGTTCTTCACTACCCCGTATTTCTTCACTACCCGTAGAGCGATGGAAACTTATTCACCGACAGAAACCTTACTCAGTACCAGAAACAGAACACCACATGAAAGTACTGTTATTTCACTGAATCGTCTGTAACGTGAAGGTTATATCCCCACATGGGCGCTCCACGTCGAGCGGGAAATCCGCTATACTCGACCTCTTTTAAATCTACAAATCAAACGATCTCCTGACTTTAATACGACCCTAACTCAGTAAGTCAAACCAGAACTTTATTATAGCAATAATAGAATAGGCCATAACTTTACGAATGTTTGTTTCTTAGATTTTCACGCAAGTCACTCATTAAATAAAACTAGTTTACGGTAGTTAGGGTCAAATAAATAACTCAAATTACAATAAAAAAATTTCAATAAAGTATTTTATTAACTAAATTAGCTAATAAATTCATACATAGACAATAAAGTTTTAAAAATCTTCCAATGAAATATCCGAACGCTCAATAAAATGCTTTCTTTCTTGACACAGTAAATAAAAAATCATAATTCTGACGATGCAGACCTGAAAAGGCTACGAAACGTCAATAAATAAATGAATTTCGTGCATTAACCCGTTAAAAACTAGTTTTATTTACGTATGTTTTAAATATTCTCTAAAAAAACTTGGCTTAATGGTGAAAGTTTCATTCTCTGTTCATTTACTTTGCAGGAATATCAAAATCAAAATTTTCTTTCGGTGATATTACGATATGCATGTCATTGTTAGGAGATGCCTGAGCGTAGGTTGTTACAAACGGACATTAATAAAATTGATATTTCCCTTATTCTACCTAAGATATCTTAACCTGTGTATGTATGCTGCTGACCTCTAATAAACTAGGGCTTGATATATTAAAGGTTACATGCGTCGTGTCTATGGACAAGTTATTGCAAAAACCAGCTGAGTGCGAGCGCATACGACGAGTTCCGTATCATTGTATATAAGATTTTATACAAATCCAATCAAAAAGAGGACGTCAAAATCAGGTTTCTTGTATAACACCCCCCATGTTCACTAATATCTTTTAAATTATAATTCTATTAAAAAAAATAAGTAAAAATATTTCAAGAAAGTGTGGGTACCTATTTCCTTTCTTCTCACACATAAAAACGAGTTTAATGACAAGTGATTACTCAAGCGTCTAGTTTAAACGATCACAAAGGAAATTAATTATTAAACAATTAGCATTTCATGACACAAAGAATCAATTAAAAAAATGTAAGTCATTTAAATTTATCTTATCGTTAACTGGTCCAAAAAGTTAATATTCGTTAGTAAATATAATTATAATAGTGATAGCGTTTAAGTGATTTTCGGAATAGTTGAGTATACTGCAATTAAAACTTTATATTGATTGTGAAATTAGAAATGACCACAACCAGTTACTTGAGTTCATTTGAGTGAAAAAAAAGCCAAGGAATCTCCTAACCGACCCCATAACAAACTCTCGCGTGACCTCGAGGCCTTTCTGGCCTCCGAGAAGCGGAAAGGACCATTGCAGCGCGTCAGTACATCCTGAGAGGCCTTCAGTCGCTCAGTCTCAATCCGATAAGGGTGTACATCAGAGTGCACCCGTCCTCTAGCGCACTATACAGTAGTATTAACTAAGCCAGCGCTGCATCATCCCCTTCTCAGGGACTGATTGCAGATTCATATGAAGCCTGTTAAGCCTTTACGGGCATCCGTCCCCCCACCGCAGGTGTGTTTTAGTCAGTAAGAATCTGACATAACCCTTCAGTCAACTGTGGGGTATCCATGAGGATTTCACACCTGCGCCTCCGCACATTTCGTTTGCTGCGCAGGCACCGCGACTTGCCCTAATAACTACGGCACAGCCGCTATAAATTTTAATTGCATTATATACCTTTTGTATTTAAATATATTTAATATAATCCCTAATGTCATGTGCGTTGACAGACTTTTAAAACAGGCAATATAAAATGCAATCTTTTTATTATTTAGTAAAATAATTATTTTAAACATTATGCAGTTTTTTAAGTGTTGTGTATCGATAAAATGCTAAACTGTATCTATGCGGATTCAGCATAATAATATAAAATAATTTGATTCACACTTAAACAGATAGACTAATGGAATTGTGCTGTAATTTCACAAATAAAATGGATAAATGCAAATTTTATTACATCTATTTTAGGCAAGAATTATATGAGCTGATCATGTCTTTCTTTGCATGATAACGTCACCTTTTAATGTCGAACCAGTTTGTAAAAACTTTATACATTAATGGTTATCTAACATAGTTAAACGATAATTAGTTAGGTATATTTAACGTTGGTGCTCTTACAATCAAAAGATAATTACTTTCTGATAACCTTTGTTGGTGAAGAAAGTGTTGTAGATCTTCTGATTGCCTACAATTTTGCCATTGAAATTTTTTCGATCGTAGTTGTAGTTTTTCCAAAAATCGCGATAAACTATTTTCCCCCCCTTAAAAGGTCAACCCCACCCTACCCGACCAGAAATCGAAATTATTTTACTTTAAAGTTTCCATCAAAAATTATCGGCCCTGACCTACTACAGTGTCATCTTACTGTTGCCTTCTATAGAATTAACTTCTCGATGGCGCTCGAATCCGAGCGTAATTTCCGCTCTGTCCTACCTCTCTTAATTTTTTTTATCTACAGGGCAATTTCTTCGTGCTATGCAACGGACCATTTTTGCTAGGAATTATTCTATTTTGTTTTTTAATTCAACTCCTAACGAAAATTCACCAGTTCTTAGCAAAACCAGAGTCTATATGAAATTGTAGGTGAAACGTGACTTATTACGATATAATAATGTAATAGGGATTATATTTTTTTACTCAATTGAGTACCCAAAAGACTTGCTTACAATAAAAAATTAAATATTATTTAAAATAATTTCCTAAATATGCTAATAATTTAGATCGAAAAAAAAACGAATTCGACATAAATTGTACAGTATCATGAAAACGGATTAAGTAGTTCTAAGTTTCTGTGTTTGAATACAGGTTTTCCCGGGGGCATTGTGAAACAAAAGTTTATAATAATAAAGTTCATAGCAACATATTTAATTAAAACTCACCAGAATAACCTATTCATATCAGTAGAAAAAGATAAAAGCTATTCGCAGTACACGAATTAAACTAACAATGTACCGATTGTTTAATTACAATGTAATTGCAACATTATTTTCGGAAAATTTATGGTGACATTTTTAGTTTCATCATTGCCGGGACTTACCCGAAGTATGATTCTGGATCGTTAGTAAGCAGAGAACAAGTATTTGAACAGAAAAACATAGTGAACGATCTAAAAAGTTATTATTGGACGCTCAAATCCCGTCTCCAAAGAAAACCTTGATATAAACAAAGCTTAATCTTTATTTTGCAATTTGCAACATGCTATGAATAGTTGCGTGTTGTAGAGTTGTTCAGAGTATAGTTTTCAGCAATATTGTTGAAGATTCTTCAACTACAATGTTATTTAATCTGCTCAATAAAAATGTTTACTATGAATACAGGACATGAATGAATATTTCGATATGATTAAAAATGCATGTTCAAAAGTGATGACTTCGCCAATACATTGTTCTGAATTTCAGTAACGCTTACACAGCTCCCGGAAGTTACAAACCATAATTTTTATTGCGACATAAGTAGGCAATAAGTATTTTTATGCTTACGCTGATAGACCGATTATACTTATGTACTTACTTCAAAGTTTAAGAAGTTATTTTTTTATTTTTTATTTTAAGCATAACAATGCATTATTCATAAATTTACACTAAATGTTACTAGATAAACTGGTTCTAGTTTTTAATTTTTAATTTAAATTTAACAAGATTAATTTGATTTTTATCCGACTTCAAACAAAAAAACCTAGGAACTACATTCGTCGTGTACGCATGTGATTTTTTGTTTATTTGGATAAATTTCACCAGTCTCCACCAAATGAACTATGTAACTTTTATATTTACCATAATTTTGTTTTCTTATGAATAGAGTCCAGTTGCAAAGGTGATGCGACATAAAAATGTGCCGCTCCAGCCATCCTTGCTTTTCCACCGACCCAAACATATTCCCCTACACCGTGGAGCAGCCCTAGGGCAGTGTTATTTTATTGTGATCTTCTATAAGGAGAAGGTTATATCTTTAGTAGGGCGCTACAATTCGATCGAAAAATCAAGTATCCGCAATAACCGTATGTTTCTTAACATTTTCACTCAATAAGAAAATATTGATTTATTGTATAATGTGCATTGCGTTGAAATAAGGCTAATTCGTTGTTATTTGTATAATGTTGTATTATAATCGACCTGCAAGTATAACGTATGGTGTCAAATTAAATGCATTTAAGCCGTTTCAAATATATTTATAAATTACTAATTTCTTTAAGACGATAGGTTTTAATATACATCTCTAGGCTTTTCACATTGATTGTGATTTTGATTATTTCTTTATGTCATTGAGCGCACACTTTTCAACGTATAAATCAACAAAAGTTAAGATTCACATTAGTACATATTTTAAGTTTCACAAACCGTTGCATTTTTTGTCAGATGCATTTCTTATGTTATTTTAGAGAAATTTTTGTTATAATCCACACTGTCTAAAAAGTTTGAAATTTTGTTTCATTAGCTCTCTTTTGATTGGGTAAAACCGATTTTTACGAAAAACAAAAATCCTTTTAATAAAAACACATATAGAAAACGTTCCTACTTACTTTTATAACATTATCAACACTTAGAGTCACGAGAGGCACTGCATTTTTAAGGTTTTTTCCTAAAGTTTTTTTTTAACTGAAAATAAGCGACAGTAACACGCACGCGTTTCCATCGGGCGTTTAAATGTGACTGACTGACCCTCTATAATGAACTAATGAACTCCCAATAATTAATGCACGGATCAAAATACTTTTAGGCTCCTTTTTAATAACTAGATTTGTTGTTGTCTCTATGATAATTATAGAATTGTGTTTTTATCGGGTAAGTACGAATGTAGCGCCCGAGGTATTAATAACAAATATTCTTAATAATAGTAAGTAGCTCACAGTCATAATAAAATATAATATATAATATAAATATTTCCAACACTCACACCAATTAGCCTAGCGCCAAAGTAAGCACTATAAGGCTTGTGTTATGGGATACTAGGGTAACGGATAGAATACATATACTTTAAATATATAAGTATATTTATATAGAAATACATATTAAACATCCATGCTGGAGTACAAATGCTCGTGTTCATCACACAAACATCTGCCCCCACCAGGATTCGAACCCGGGACCTCTCGAGTCGGCGACGCCATGAAACTCTACGTACAAACCACTCGGCCATGGAGGTCGTCAATATATAATGTGTGGGGATGTCAATTCTGACATGATTCTTTAAACCTTAAATTGAATTTGGCAACAATTTATCCTTGTTATTCTCTATACAAAATGGAAAGGAGAGACTGATGTTAAATTTAGTTTTAAATTTAAAGTATCATGCCAGGGGGGCAATCCTCATGCACTCGACTTAATGACGAATTCGAAAAAAAGTTCGAGTTAGATTTTATTTCTAGTAAAAATTAAATAGAGTTAATCTTAAAAAAGTTCAATGCGACTTTTTTGGGACGAAAACCGCTCGAATTGATTCGATTGGAACAGTACGAGACGTAACTTATTGCTTTCGACATTAGAAAATTAAGACAACGCATTATTTTTGCATATTTAAGTCAATATTTATAATGACTGACAAATTTATCCTTGACTTTATGCAAAATATATTCAAAATGCAGTAATTTCTACGACTGGGGTTTCCCGTCAATATTTAACAATCTCACTGATGTTGTGGTTCTATTTTTGGTGTATATGTATATCATTTGCAAGAATTAAAAAAAAACTTGCTAAATTGCGAATCCGACTTGCCCACTGAGGGTTCCGTAATATTTATATGTAGGTATGCCATAAAGTTCTTTTCACAGCTTAGAGGGACTATAAACATGAATATATTAAGTATACAGAAGAAAGTTATATTTTGTAAAATATAACTTCCGTGTGCCGTTCGTTATCACTAACTAACTACACTGGTGTAAAATTTAAGTTTAGTTTAGAGAATCATGCCAGAATTGACACCAATGGTGTCGAATCAGGGGCTCAATCCTCGATTGTCATCACTAAACGATTTGTTCGAAGTTATCTTTCAATTTATTTAGTATTTAGTATTCTCATCACTATTAAGAGACAGAATAGACATTGGTGTCGATTCTAACATGATTCTCTAAACCTAAACTTAAATTTGACAATAATCTATCCTTGTCATTCTCTATACAAAATGAAAAGGAGAGACTGATGTTGAATTTAGGTTTAAGTTTAGAGAATCATGACAGAATCGACACTATTATTTACTTTAACTTTATTCCATAAAAATCGCCATAAGTCAGACTCAAATTGTAGCAGAGAGTTTAATAGACAGTCCAAAGAACAGTTTCAATTAAAAGCAATAGGTAACTGAGAGAGAGAAAAAGTGTTTAAAAGTAACGATTACATAATTAACTGCTGAAATTTTATATATAAAAAAAACTAAAAAATAGTTCATACAATATTGTTTGTTTTTATAATAGAGACACAACTAGAAGGCGAAAAAACAAAAAAAGTTATGTTCATATTATAAAGCTGAAGAGTTTGGCCTTTTGGTTGGCCGCGATAATTTGGTCACTTGGCCGATTTGAAAAAATATGTTTGTGTTGGATAGTGCATTTATCAAGGAAGCTTATAGGATATCTATATATATAAAACTCAAAGGTGACTGACTGACTGACATAGTGATCTATCAACGCACAGTCCAAACTACTGGACAGATCACTTCAGCTCTACACCGAAGCGAAGCGAGGGCGGGCCGCTAGTAAATAAATAAAGTTTCGTGGATTAACCCATTAAAACTAGTTTTATTTAGCTAGACTAATTCTTTGTCCGAGGTAGCTGCCAGCTCTTCGGTCACCTGTGATGACGACCAACCCTTTTAACCAAACTTAGGATTTGATTTTGTTTTGTTGTGAGTAATGTAAGTTGAAAACATTGCAGAATGTTTTTACCGCGTTTGCGTCATACTAATATGATTTTTCTTGTTTTTTTTTTTTCTTTTAAGAGTCATCGTTGATTTATTTGGTTAGGTAGATACAAATTACGTATTGACATAAATGTTTTCACGTCCACAATAATAATACTATCGGTAAGGTTTGACCTTCCCTATTCATTTGGTTAATAAACACTACTAAAATATGTAAAGTCATCACCATCATCAGTTTATAATGTCCCTACTGCCGTGGCCATGCCTTCTGTAAGGGTAGACTAGGGAGATTGGGCCATAATATACCCACCATATGGACCCAGTGCTGATTGGTGGGTACAAACGCAGCTTCAGATTCGATTATTAAAAAAAAGTTGCTTAACTTCCACTATCACAGTTCAAACCCGCTTATCATTGTATCATCGAGTACCTAATTTTTTGGGGCATTTTAGTAAGTTTATTTAGGGATCAATATTTCTTACCTTTTCCCTCTATTTTACTGTAGTTACATTAAGTGAATATATAGCTTCTCCTATATTATTTTTTTATGATCCGAATTCTACTAATATTATAAATGTAAAATTTTGAATGTTTTAGTAATTTATATCATTTACTGTTGCAATCGCCACGATCACGGAGTTACTCCGTATTGCCGATGCCGAAATATCGGAAACTCGCTAAAAACAAGGTACATGGTAAAATACCATAAATAACATAAGTTACAGTAGATAATGTTCGTTACTCAATCACGCAAAACTTACAGACGGGGTAAGATGAAATTTAGTACGCATATAGTTTATAACCTGGATTGAGACATTATGTACTTTTTATCCCAGAAAAATATTAGTTTTCCACAAAAAAAAAAGTTAACACGGACGACGTCGCGGTAACATAAAGACGCTATAGACGCTAGTGTAAACATAAACATAGTTTTAATTACTGTACCTAATTATTCTTTTAAAAGTACAAGAATAGTATCATCATTCATTTAACATTAATGAGTGTATTAATAACCAAGCCGCGATATCATCTATTACCCAATAATGAGCTGTGACGCCGATTCGTTTTCTATAATCACAGCTCATCACGAGAAATCACTGTAAATGTTTGAACCTTGAACGAGTTTTTGTAGTTTCTGTAGGAGATAACACTTGAATCAGACTTGTCTTACTATTAAAAAGTAAGTTATTGGTCTCATCTCAATTACCTGCAAATTTATTTTCCTCGAATCCTCGAAGTGTTTAGAAATTCTACCTTACAGAATACCACACTAAAATAACACTTTTCGGTGGAGTTTTTCTGTCGGTGAGTAGGCCTCCAGGGCTCCAGGGGGTAGGGGATTGAGTTCAGTAAATTGGTCCACTTACACTTAATGTTACGTGGGGTGAAGTAATTTGTTGCTCCTCGTATGCTTCATAGCAGAAAAAACACAGTGGCGTATATAAGGCCTTGGTATAAGAAAAAAAAACATATTGTTTTTTTTATAGCGAGGTAAGCAAATAACTCTACCCTATCTGATGTTAAGTGGTGATCAAGTCCAAACGCGAAGATAGCTGGTACCTTTTTTTTTCTGGGAAATGCTTTACGCATCCTTAAACCACCGGGGGAGCGAGAGGAAGGTATGTGGGACTCCTCCCTGCTCATTTCAGCCAGCCCTTAGGCCGGGTGAAATGAGCAGGGCCCTACCTAACGCCCTGAACAGGGCCACTAAAAACCAGACAATACTCCTGCACCGGTCACCCGGCGTACATTCTGAGGACCGCAGTACCCCCAACGCATGCCGGGAGTGCGGGTGTGGTCGCGGCAACTGTTGCCGACTGTCCGCGCAAAGATAGCTGGTACCTATATAATCATGTTCTTACAATGCCTAAGTTTGCTATTTCTCCAAAAATAATGTAATACAATAAATAACACGACTGCCTAGCCAGAAACCGTACTAAAAAGTCAAAAACAAGTTGGAAGAAGAAGGAAGTCATTGCAGTAAGGTGACTGCTTTCGTCAGATTTCACAGAACATTTTTTTAATCTAATGGCCCGTACTCACATAGGGTATTACTTGATATAGATTAAGACCTTCTAACCCATGGAAACAATGAAGAATTTAATGGAATTGATTGTTTTACTTTAAAGTGAGTAAAACTCAACGTGTGAACCGCAAAACTCACTACTCGAAGGCTTGTTTCCAGGACGCGACACGTTGATTTTAACTGGGTTCCGAGTATACTCATCATCATCATCATCAGCCTATTAACGTCCCCACTGCTGAGACACAGGCCTTATCTATGGATGAAATAGGGAGATTGGGCCATGACCTACTACGCGGGCCCAGTACGGATTGGAGGGTGCTAACGATTGCAGATGCAGCCAGGACCAACGGCTTAACGTGCCTTCTGAAGCACGGAGGAACTCGAGGTAGAAGATTTTTGGTCACCCATCCAATGACCGACCACCGCGAAAATTGCTTAACTTCAACGGTTGCAGCCGAACGCGCTAACCACCCGCGCAATCGAGCTCCTCTCGAGTATACTGTATGGGCATAATGTATTACGGAGCATAACGCCGTAATAACATTTGGTCTTCTCCCGTATTCGGATGCACGAAAGACATTACTCGAATACCGAAGCAAAGTTTTACACTAGATTACGTGCTGGAAGCCGGTGGAAACACGGAAACACGTGGACGGGCAAACAAAAGGAAAGGAGATTTGTGTCGCCAGATTTAAAATTCATAATCGCTCGTGTGAAAATCTTACTTTTTCTGGTAACTTGACGTGACTGTAAGCACCTAATTTGAGTTGGAGCAGTTTAAATATTCTTAGATCTGTGACGTATAAATATAGAGAGAGACAATATGAGAACGATCCATTTATATTTTTTTCACATAGCAAATTCGGTAATTATAATCATTAATGTAACTAGTTCATCATGAATATTGAGAATTT